CCCATTCCCATTCCATTCCCATTCCCATTCCCATCCCATTCCCATTCCCACCCCATTCCCATCCCATTCCCATTCCCATTCCCATTCCCATTCCCATCCCATTCCATTCCCATTCCCACCCATTCCCATTCCCATTCCCATTCCCATTCCCACCCCATTCCATTCCCATTCCCTCCCATTCCCATTCCACCCCATTCCCATTCCCATCCCATTCCCATTCCCATTCCCATTCCCATCCCATTCCCATTCCATTCCCATCCCATTCCCATTCCCATTCCCATTCCCATTCCCATCCCATTCCCATTCCCCATTCCCATCCCATTCCCATTCCCATTCCACCCCATTCCATCCCATTCCCATTCATTCCCATTCCCATTCCCACTCCCATTCCCATTCCATTCCCATTCCCCATTCCCATTCCATTCCATTCCCATTCATTCCCACCCCATTCCCATTCCCATTCCCATTCCCATTCCCATTCCCATTCCCACCCCATTCCCATTCCCACTCCCATTCCCATTCCCATTCCCACCCCATTCCCATTCCCATTCCCACTCCCATTCCCATTCCCATTCCCACTCCATTCCACTCCCATTCCCATTCCCACCCCATTCCCATTCCCATTCCATCCCATTCCCATTCCCATTCCCATTCCCATTCCCATCCCATTCCCACCCCATTCCCACTCCCATTCCCATCCCATTCCCACCCCATTCCCATTCCCATTCCCATTCCCATTCCCATTCCCACCCCATTCCCATTCCCATTCCCATCCCATTCCCATTCCCATTCCCATTCCCATTCCATTCCCATTCCCATCCCATTCCCATTCCCATTCCCATTCCCATTCCATTCCATCCCATTCCCATTCCCATTCCCATTCCCATTCCCATTCCCATTCCCACTCCCATTCCCACTCCCATTCCCACTCCCATTCCCATTCCCATTCCCATTCCCACTCCCATTCCCATTCCCATTCCCACTCCCATTCCATTCCCATTCCACCCCATTCCCATTCCCATTCCCATTCCCATTCCCATTCCCATTCCCATTCCTCCCATTCCCATTCCCATCCCATTCCCATTCCCATTCCCATTCCCATTCCCATTCCCATTCCCATTCCCATTCCCATTCCCATTCCCACTCCCATTCCCATCCCCATTCCAATTCCCACTCCCATTCCCACTCCCATTCCCATTCCCACCCCATTCCCATTCCCATTCCCATTCCCACCCCATTCCCATTCCCATTCCCATTCCCATTCCCATTCCCATTCCCATTCCCATTCCCATTCCCATCCCATTCCCATTCCCATTCCCATTCCCATTCCCACCCCATTCCCATTCCCACTCCCATTCCCATTCCCACTCCCATTCCCATTCCCATTCCCATTCCCATTCCCATTCCCATTCCCATTCCCACTCCCATTCCCATTCCCATTCCCACTCCCATTCCCATTCCCATCCCATTCCCATTCCCATTCCCACTCCCATTCCCATTCCCATTCCCATTCCCATTCCACCCCATTCCCACTCCCATCCCATTCCCATTCCCATTCCCATCCCATTCCCATACTCCCCCCATTCCCATTCCCACCCCCATTCCCATTCCCATCCCCATTCCCATTCCCACTCCCATTCCCATTCCACCCCCATTCCCATCCCCATTCCATTCCATCCCATCCCATTCCCATTCCCATCCCATTCCCATTCCCACTCCCATTCCCATTCCCACCCCATTCCCATTCCCATTCCCACCCCCATTCCCATTCCCACTCCCATTCCCATTCCCATCCCCATTCCCACTCCCATTCCCACTCCCATTCCCATTCCCACTCCCATTCCCATTCCCATTCCCATTCCCATTCCCATCCCCCATTCCCATTCCCATTCCCATTCCCCATTCCCACCCCATTCCCATTCCCATTCCCATTCCCATTCCCATTCCATCCCATTCCCACTCCCATTCATTCCCATTCCCATTCCCATTCCCATTCCATTCCCATTCCATTCGCCCCATTCCCATCCCCATTCCACCCATTCCCATTCCCCATTCCCACCCCATTCCCATTCCCACCCCATTCCCAGCCCCCATTCCCATTCCCATTCCCATTCCCATTCCACCCCCATTCCCATTCCCATTCCCGGGAATCACCGGATGTGAAGGCGTTCCCGGCGCCCGAGATGACGACGGCGCGGCACGAGGGGTCCCGGGAGACGGCCTGGAAACATTGCACCAGCTCCCTGCGGAGGGGGGGGTGTCCCAGTGCCTCCCAGTACCTCCCAGTATAGCCCCAGTATACCCCAGGGTGTCCCAGTGCCTCCCAGTGCTCCTCCAGGGTGTCCCAGTCACTCCCAGTGTCCCCCCAGTGCCCCCTGGAAACATTGCACCAGCTCCCTGCGGGATTGGGGGGGTGTCCCAGTCCTTCCCAGTACCTCCCAGTATATCCCCAGTATGTCTCAGTGCCCTCTCAGTGTGTCCCAGTGCCCCCCAGTGCACCCCCAGTGTGTCCTGGAAACATTGCACCAGCTCCCTGCAGGATTGGGGGGGTCAGAGGGGTGTCCCAGTGCCCTCCCAGTGCCTCCCAGTACCCCCAGTACCTCCAGCAGGTGAGGTTGAGGGCGTTTCTCTTGCTGGGCCGGTTGAGCTCCACGTGCAGGACGTGCTCCCAGTGCCCCCCAGTGCCTCCCAGTGCCTCCCAGTGCCCTCCCAGGTACCCCCAGTGCCTCCCAGTGCCTCCCAGTGCCCCCCAGTGCCTCCCAGTGCCTCCCAGTGCCTCCAGTGCCTCCCAGTGCCCCCAGTGCCTCCCAGTGCCCCCAGTACCTCCAGCAGGTGAGGTTGAGGGCGTTTCTCTTGCTGGGCCGGTTGAGCTCCACGTGCAGGACGTGCTCCCAGTGCCCTCCCAGTGCCTCCCAGTGCCTCCCAGTGCCCTCCCAGTGCCTCCCAGTTGCCCCCAGTGCCTCCAGCAGGTGAGGTTGAGGGCGTTTCTCTTGCTGGGCCGGTTGAGGCTCCACGTGCAGGACGTGCTCCCAGTGCCTCCCAGTGCCTCCCAGTGCCCTCCCAGTGAGCTCCCAGTGCCTCCCAGTGCCTCCCAGTGCCCCCAGTACCTCCAGCAGGTGAGGTTGAGGCGTTTCTCTTGCTGGGCCGGTTGAGCTCCACGTGCAGGACGTGCTCCCAGTGCCTCCCAGTGCCTCCCAGTGCCCCCAGTGCCTCCCAGTGCCCTCCCAGTGCCCTCCCAGTGAGCTCCCAGTGCCTCCCAGTGCCTCCCAGTGCCCCTAGTACCTCCAGCAGGTGAGGTTGAGGCGTTTCTCTTGCTGGGCCGGTTGAGCTCCACGTGCAGGACGTGCTCCCAGTGCCTCCCAGTGCCTCCCAGTGCCTCCCAGTGCCTCCCAGTGCCCTCCCAGTGCCTCCCAGTGCCCCCAGTGCCTCCCAGTGCCCCCCCAGTGCCTCCCAGTGCCCCCAGTACCTCCAGCAGGTGAGGTTGAGGGCGTTTCTCTTGCTGGGCCGGTTGAGCTCCACGTGCAGGACGTGCTCCCAGTGCCCTCCCAGTGCCTCCCAGTGCCTCCCAGTGCCTCCCAGTGCCCCCCAGTGCCTCCCAGTGCCCCCCAGTGCCTCCCAGTGCCCCCAGTACCTCCAGCAGGTGAGGTTGAGGGCGTTTCTCTTGCTGGGCGGTTGAGCTCCACGTGCAGGACGTGCTCCCAGTGCCTCCCAGTGCCTCCCAGTGCCTCCCAGTGCCCTCCCAGTGCCCCCAGTGCCTCCCAGTGCCTCCCAGTGCCCTCCCAGTGCCTCCCAGTGCCTCCCAGTGCCCCCAGTGCCTCCCAGTGCCCCCAGTGCCTCCCAGTGCCCCCAGTACCTCCAGCAGGTGAGGTTGAGGCGTTTCTCTTGCTGGGCCGGTTGAGCTCCACGTGCAGGACGTGCTCCCAGTGCCCTCCCAGTGCCCTCCCAGTGCCTCCCAGTGCCCTCCCAGTGCCTCCCAGTGCCCCCAGTACCTCCAGCAGGTGAGGTTGAGGCGCTTCTCTTGCTGGGCCGGTTGAGCTCCACGTGCAGGACGTGCTCCCAGTGCCTCCCAGTGCCTCCCAGTGCCCTCCCAGTGAGCTCCCAGTGCCTCCCAGTGCCTCCCAGTGCCCCAGTACCTCCAGCAGGTGAGGTTGAGGGCGTTTCTCTTGCTGGGCCGGTTGAGCTCCACGTGCAGGACGTGCTCCCAGTGCCTCCCAGTGCCTCCCAGTGCCCCCCCAGTGCCTCCCAGTGCCCTCCCAGTGCCCTCCCAGTGAGCTCCCAGTGCCTCCCAGTGCCTCCCAGTGCCCCAGTACCTCCAGCAGGTGAGGTTGAGGGCGTCTCTCTTGCTGGGCCGGTTGAGCTCCACGTGCAGGACGTGCTCCCAGTGCCTCCCAGTGCCTCCCAGTGCCTCCCAGTGCCTCCCAGTGCCCTCCCAGTGCCTCCCAGTGCCCCCCAGTGCCTCCCAGTGCCCTCCCAGTGCCTCCCAGTGCCCCCAGTACCTCCAGCAGGTGAGGTTGAGGGCGTTTCTCTTGCTGGGCCGGTTGAGCTCCACGTGCAGGACGTGCTCCCAGTGCCTCCCAGTGCCTCCCAGTGCCCTCCCAGTGCCTCCCAGTGCCCCCAGTGCCTCCCAGTGCCCTCCCAGTGCCTCCCAGTGCCCCAGTACCTCCAGCAGGTGAGGCTTGAGGGCGTTTCTCTTGCTGGGCCGGTTGAGCTCCACGTGCAGGACGTGCTCCCAGTGCCTCCCAGTGCCTCCCAGTGCCCTCCCAGTGCCTCCCAGTGCCCTCCCAGTGCCTCCCAGTGCCCTCCCAGTGCCTCCCAGTGCCCTCCCAGTGCCCTCCCAGTGCCTCCAGTGCCCCCAGTGCTCCCAGTACCTCCAGCAGGTGAGGTTGAGGCGTTTCTCTTGCTGGGCCGGTTGAGCTCCACGTGCAGGACGTGCTCCCAGTGCCTCCCAGTGCCTCCCAGTGCCCTCCAGTGCCTCCCAGTGCCCCCAGTGCCTCCCAGTGCTCCCAGTACCTCCAGCAGGTGAGGTTGGCGTTTCTCTTGCTGGGCCGGTTGAGCTCCACGTGCAGGACGTGCCTCCCAGTGCCTCCCAGTGCCTCCCAGGTGCCCTCCCAGTGCCTCCCAGTGCCTCCCAGTGCCTCCCAGTGCCTCCCAGTGCTCCCAGTACCTCCAGCAGGTGAGGTTGAGGCGTTTCTCTTGCTGGGCCGGTTGAGCTCCACGTGCAGGACGTGCTCCCAGTGCCTCCCAGTGCCCTCCCAGTGCCCCCCAGTGCCTCCCAGTGCCTCCCAGTGAGCCCCAGTGCCTCCCAGTGCCCTCCCAGTGCCTCCCAGTGCCCTCCCAGTGCTCCCAGTACCTCCAGCAGGTGAGGTTGAGGGCGTTTCTCTTGCTGGGCCGGTTGAGCTCCACGTGCAGGACGTGCTCCCAGTGCCTCCCAGTGCCCTCCAGTGCCTCCCAGTGCCTCCCAGTGCCCTCCCAGTGAGCCCCAGTGCCTCCCAGTGCCTCCCAGTGCCTCCCAGTGCCTCCCAGTGCTCCCAGTACCTCCAGCAGGTGAGGTTGAGGCGTTTCTCTTGCTGGGCCGGTTGAGCTCCACGTGCAGGACGTGCTCCCAGTGCCTCCCAGTGCCCTCCCAGTGCCTCCCAGTGCCCTCCCAGTGCCTCCCAGTGCCCTCCCAGTGCCTCCCCAGTGCCCTCCCAGTGCCTCCCAGTGCCTCCCAGTGCCCCCAGTACCTCCAGCAGGTGAGGTTGAGGGCGTTTCTCTTGCTGGGCCGGTTGAGCTCCACGTGCAGGACGTGCTCCCAGTGCCTCCCAGTGCCTCCCAGTGCCCTCCCAGTGCCCTCCCAGTGCCCCCCAGTGCCTCCCAGTACCTCCAGCAGGTGAGGTTGAGGGCGTTTCTCTTGCTGGGCCGGTTGAGCTCCACGTGCAGGACGTGCTCCCGTTCCCGCAGCACCCGCAGGGTCTGGAATTCCGGGGGGGTCTGGAATTCTCCTGGGGGGGTCTGGAATTCTCCTGGGGGGGTCTGGAATTTTTCAGGGGGGGTCCCCGAGGGCTCCGCAGCCTCCGACGCCATCGAGCGACGCAGCACCCGCAGCGCTGGGGGGGACTGGGATTCACTGGGAGCCACTGGGGACAGACTGGGAGGACTGGAAGGACTGGGGGCACTGGGAGGGACTGGGATTCACTGGGAATGGGACTGGGGACACAGGAATGGGACTGGGAGGGATTGGGAGGGACTGGGGAGGGATTGGAAGGGACTGGGGGACACTGGGGAGGGACTGGGGGGCACTGGGATGGACTGGGGGCACTGGGATGGACTGGGAAGGACTGGAAGGGACTGGGAGCACTGAGGAAGGACTGGGGATGGGATGGGACTGGGGGACACTGGGGAGGGACTGGGAGGCACTGGGATGGACTGGGGGCACTGGGAGACTGGGGCACTGGGATGCACTGGGGAGTACTGGAAGGACTGGGGGACACTGGGAGGGACTGGGATGGGACTGGGGGCACTGGGGAGGGACTGGGAGGCACTGGGGAGGGACTGGGAGCCACTGGGGAGGGACTGGGGGCACTGGGGAGGGATTGGAAGGCACTGGGAGGCACTGGGGAGGGACTGGGAGGGATTGGAAGGACTGGGGGACACTGGGATGGACTGGGGACACTGGGATGGACTGGGGGACACTGGGATGGACTGGGGAGGGATTGGAAGGGACTGGGGGACACTGGGGAGGGACTGGGGGGCACTGGGGAGGGACTGGAGGGCACTGGGGAGGGACTGGGAGGCACTGGGGAGGGACTGGGATGGACTGGGGGACACTAGGGAGGGACTGGGGGGCACTGTGGAGGGACTGGGGGACACTGGAAGCGACTGGAGGGCACTGGGACACACTGGAATGGGACTGGGGGACACTGGAATAGACTGGGCGGGGGGCACTGGAGTGGGACTGGGGGCACTGGGACCTACTGGGACACAGAAGGACAGACTGGGCAGGGACTGGGGGTCAACTGGGGGGCACTGGGAGTTACTGGGAGGCACTGGGAGCCCCTAGGGGCCACTGGGAGTTACTGGGAGGCACTGGGAGTTACTGGGAGGCACTGGGAGTTACGGGGGGGGTCATTGGGAAGCACTGGGAGTTACTGGGAGTTACTGGGAGTTCCTGGGGGGGTTACTGGGAGTTCCTGGTGGGGTCACTGGGAGTTACTGGGGGGGTCACTGGGAGTTACTGGGAGTTACTGGGGGTCACTGGGAGTTACTGGAGGCACTGGGAGTTCCTGGGGTTCAAGGTCACGCAGGGGGTCCCTTTGTCCAACCGGTGGGGGTTTGGGGGTCCTGGGCTGGTCACGTGTCCTGGGGGTTGGTCACGTGTCCCCCCGGGGTCTCCTCCCCCACTCACGTGCCCGGAGCAGCCTCGCGACCCCCAGCGCCATCGACCCCCGCTCCGCCGCCAGGGGGCGCTGCCGCCTTCCGGTACCGCAGCCAATGGGGAGCCAGAAAACGGCCACGCCCCACTCCGGGCGGAAGTGACGCGTTAACCACGCCCCTTTGTGGGCGGAAGTGGCCTCAGGACGCCCCAAAACGTCCCAAAAAGCCTAAAAATTCCTCCCTCCCCAAAATCCTCCCCAAGCGCTCGAAATCCTCCCTAGACCCCCTGAAATTCTCCCCAACCCCCAAATCACTCCTGAAAAAAACCCTAAACCCTCCAAAACCCCAAAATCTTCCCCAACTCCCTGAAATTCCTCCCCATCCCCCCAAATCCCCTGAAAAAACCCTAAACCTTCCAAAAGCCCCCAAAAATCTTCCCCAACCCCCCAAAAATCCTCCTCATCCCCACCCCAAATCCTCCTGAAACCCCTAAACCTCCAAAAGCCCTAATACTTCCCCAACTGCCCTGAAATTCTGCCCCAACCCCCCAAATCCCTGAAAGGCCCTGAACCCTCCAAAACCCCCCAAAATCTCCCAAACGACCCCCAAAATCTCATCCCCAAAATCCTCCTCATCCCCAAATCCTCCCGGAAAAAACCTAAACCCTCAAACCACTCTCAAGAGTCTTCCCCAAAATCTTCCCGGCCCCTGAAATTCTCCCCAACCCCCCAAATCCTCCTGAAAAAAAGCCCTAAATCCTCAAACCCCAAAATCTTCTAACCTCCCCAAAATCCTCCTCATCCCCCAAATCCTCCTGAAACCCCTAAACCCTGCAAAACCCCTAAAATCTTCCCCAACCCCTGAAATTCTCCCAACCCCACCAGAAGTCCCCTGAAAAACCCTAAACCTCCACAACCCCCCAAAATCTTCCCCACCTCCCCAAAAATCCTCCTCATCCCCCAAATCCTCCCCATTGCCCCCAAATCCTCCTGAAAAAAACCTTAAACCCTCCAAACCCCTCAAAATCTTCCCAACCCCAAAAATCCTCCTTATCCCCCCAAAATCCTCATCCCCCCAAATCCTCCTCACCCCCAAATCCCCCTGAAAAAAACCTAATCCCTCAAACCCCCAAAATCTTCCCCAACCCCCAAATCCTCCTGAAAAAAACCTAAACCCTCCAACCCCCAAAATCTTCCCCAACCCCCCAAAATCCTCCCCATCCCCCAAATCCTCCTGAAAAAACCCTAAACCCTCCAAACCCCCCAAAATCTTCCTCAACTCCCTGAAATTCTCCCAATCCCCAAATCCTCCTGAAAAAACCCTAAATCCTCAAACTCCAAAATCTTCCCCAACCTTGAAATTCTCCCCAACCCCCCAAATCCTCCTGAAAAACCCTAAACCCTCCAAAACCCCCAAAATCTTCCCTGACCCCCAAATCCTCCTGAAACCCTAAACCCTCCAAAACCCCCAAAATCCCCCAAAATCCTCCCCATCCCCCAAATCCCTGAAAAAACCCTAAACCCTCCAAAACCCCAAAATCTTCCCCAAGCCCCTGAAAAACCTAAATCCTCAAACCCCAAAATCTTCCCCATCCCCTCCAAATCCTCCTGAAAACCCCAAACCCTCCAAAACCCCCTCCAAACCCCCAAAATCCTCCCCATCCCCCAAATCCCCTGAAAAAAACCTAAACCCCAAAACCCCCAAAATCCTCCCAACCCCCAAATCCTCCTGAAACCCCAAATCCCAAAAATCCCCCCCCCAAATCTCCTCCGTGTGTGTTTTCCAAACCAGTTTTATTTTCTTTTTTGGGGAGGGAAAAAGGGGAGACCCTGATGGGGCCCCAACTCTTTAAAAATTGGGGGAGGGAGGGACACACAGACAGGGGGTGGGGGAGGGGTCAGGAGCTGCCCTGGGCTCTAAAAGGGGGTCCCGGTGGAGTCAGGGGTCCCGTCACGAGGCGTGCTGGGCCGTGGAGAAGCAGAGCTTGAGCGTGTAGGGTGCGGCCCATCTGGGGGACACAAAACACAGGGGGGGTCAGGGAGCCTGGGGACCCCAAAAACCCCGGGGTGGGACTTACTGGGGTTCTTCATCTGGAAGTGGTTGAGGAAGCCGAGGGTCTCCAGAGCGTCGCTCTTCGAGTCCCACTCGAGCAGCCCCGACGAGCTCCGCTCGCCTGGGGGGGCAACACGGGGAGACCCCCGCTCAGAGCGGGGTCCCACGGGGCAGGGGAGACCCCCCGGGGAAGGGGAGACCCCACGGGAAAGGGGAGACCCCACAGGAAAGGAGACCCCCAAGGAAGGGGAGACCCCACAGGAAAGGGGAGACCCCACGGGGACAGGGGAGACCCCCAAGGAAGGGGAGACCCTACAGGGAAAGGGGAGACCCCACAGGGAAAGGGGAGACCCCATGGGGAAAGGGGAGACCCCATGGGGAAAGGGGAGACCCCACGGGGAAGGGGAGACCCCCATGGGACAGGGGAGACCCCCAAGGAAGGGGAGACCCCACGGGACAGGGAAGACCCCACGGGGAAGGGGAGACCACACAGGACAGGGGAGACCCCACAGGGACAGGGGAGACCCCACGGGCAAGGGGAGACCCCATGGGGAAGGGGAGACCCCACGGGACAGGGGAGACCCCCCAGGGAAGGGGAGACCCCACGGGACAGGGGAGACCCCACGGGACAGGGGAGACCCCCTCAAGGAAGGGGAGACCCCACGGGGAAAGGGGAGACCCCAAAGGACAGGGGAGACGCCACGGGCAAGGGGAGACCCCTCAAGGAAGGGGAGACTTCCACAGGACAGGGAAGACCCCACGGGGAAAGGAGAGACCCCACGGGACAGGGGAGACCCCACAGGACAGGGGAGACCCCACAGGACAGGGGAGACCCCATGGGACAGGGGAGACCCCACAGGAAAGGGGAGACCCCACGGGGACCCCCACTGGATGGGACCCCACAGGGGAAGGGGAGACCCCACAGGAAAGGGGAGACCCCACAGGGAAGGGGAGACCCCAAGGGAAGGGGAGACCCCACGGGGAAAGGGGAGACCCCACGGGGAAAGGGGAGACCCCACAGGAAAGGGGAGACCCCACAGGGAAAGGGGAGACCCCACAGGGGAAAAGGGGAGACCCCACGGGGAAAGGGGAGACCCCACGGGAAAGGGGAGACCCCACAGGGAAAGGGGAGACCCCCCAAGGAAGGAGAGACCCCACGGGGACAGGGGAGACCCCACGGGACAGGGGAGACCCCACGGGAAGGGGAGACCCCCCAAGGAAGGGGAGACCCCATGGGGAAAGGGGAGACCCCACAGGAACCCCCTCAGCTCAGACAGGACCCCCACAGGACAGGGGAGACCCCACGGGACAGGGGAGACCCCCCAAGGAAGGGGAGACCCCACGGGACAGGGGAGACCCCCAAGGAAGGGGAGACCCCATGGGAAAGGGGAGACCCCTCAAGGAAGGGGAGACTTCCACAGGACAGGGGAGACCCCATGGGGAAGGGGAGACCCCAGAGGGAAAGGGGAGACCCCAAAGGACAGGGGAGACCCCATGGGACAGGGGAGACCCCACAGGAAAGGGGAGACCCCACGGGGAACCCCCCTACTCAGATAGGACCCCCACGGGGAAGGGGAGACCCCACAGGAAAGGGGAGACCCCACGGGAAGGGGAGACCCCACAGGACAGGGGAGACCCCACGGGGAAAGGGGAGACCCCACGGGCAAGGGGAGACCCCATGGGACAGGGGAGACCCCACAGGGAAAGGGGAGACCCCACGGGCAAGGGGAGACCCTACGGGGAAGGGGAGACCCCACGGGACAGGGGAGACCCCACGGGACAGGGGAGACCCCACGGGACAGGGGAGACCCCACGGGGAAAGGGGAGACCCCCCAAGGAAGGGGAGACCCCCACAGGAACCCCCTCAGCTCAGACAGAACCCCCACGGGACAGGGGAGACCCCACAGGAAAGGGGAGACCCCCCAAGGAAGGGGAGACCCCACGGGGAAAGGGAAGACCCCACGGGGAAAGGGGAGACCCCCCAAGGAAGGGGAGACCCCACGGGACAGGGGAGACCCCCCAAGGAAGGGGAGACCCCCCAAGGAAGGGGAGACCCCCCAAGGAAGGGGAGACCCCACGGGGAAAGGGGAGACCCCCAGGAAGGGGAGACCACGGGACAGGAGACCCCACAGGGAACCCCCTGCTCAGAGCAGACCCCCAAGGAAGGGAGACCCCTGGGGAAAGGGACACCCCCAAGGAAGGGGAGACCCCACGGGGAAGGGGAGACCCCCCAAGGAAGGGGGGACCCCCCAAAAACTTACTCTTGCCTGAGAACACCTTGACTGAGGAGGGACGTTTGACCCCCAACTCATCACAGATCTGGGGGGCAAAAGGGGGTCAGGGGGGCAAAAAGAGGGGTCAGGGGGCAAAAAGGGGTCGGGGGGCAAAAGAAGTCAGGCAGAAGGGGTCAGAAGGGTAAAAAGGGGTCGGGGGGGCAAAAAAGGAGTCAGGGAAGATTGGGGGGAAAAAAAGGAGGAGGAGGAGAAGGAAGAGAGAGAAAGGAGAAGAAAAGGAGGGAGAGGGGCTGAAAAGAAGAAGAGGAGGCAAAAGAAACTCCTGGACTGAAGAAGAGGAAGGAGAGGAGCTGGAAAGGGGAATGAAGAGGAGGCAAAAAAAAGCCCCAAGACTGAGGAAGAGGAGGGAGAGGAAGGAGAGGAGCTGAAAAGGGGAATGAAGAGGAGGCAAAAAAAACCCTAGGACTGAGGAAGAGGAGGAAGAGAAGGGAGAGGAGCCAAAAAGGAGAAGAAGAGGAGGCGAAAGGAACCCCAGGGTTGAGGAAGAGGAGAAAGAGAAGGGAGAGGAGGGAGAGGAGCTGAAAAGGAGACGGAAGAGGAGGTGAAAGGAACCCCAGGACTGGAGAAGAGAAGCCAAAAAGGAGAAGAAGAGGAGGTAAAAAAAAACCCCCAGGACTGAGGAAGAGGAGGAAGAGGAAGGAGAGGAGCTGAAAAGGGGAATGAAGAGGAGGTAAAAAACCCCCAGGACTGAGGAAGAGGAGGAAGGAGAGGAGCTGAAAAGGGGAAGGAAGAGGAGGCAAAAAAAAACCCCAGGACTGAGGAAGAGGAGGAAGGAGAGGAGTTGAAAAGGGGAAGGAAGAGGAGGTGAAAAAAACCCCAGGACTGAGAAAGAAGAGGAAGAGGAAGGAGAGAGGTTGAAAAGGGGAATGAAGAGAAGGCAAAAAAACCCCAGGACTGAGGAAGAGGAGAAAGGAGAGGAGTTGAAAAGGGTAGAAGAGAAGGCAAAAAAAACCCCCCCAGGACTGAGGAAGAGGAGGAAGGAGAGGAGCTGAAAAGGAGAAGAAGAGGAGGCAAAAAAACCCCTAGGACTGAGGAAGACGAGGAAGGAGAGGAGCTGAAAAAGGGAAGGAAGAGGAGGCAAAAAAAACCCCCAGGACTGAGGAAGGAAGAGGAGGAAGAGGAAGGAGAGGAGCTGAAAAGGGGAATGAAGAGGAGGCAAAAAAACCCCTAGGACTGAGGAAGACGAGGAAGGAGAGGAGCTGAAAAAGGGAAGGAAGAGGAGGCAAAAAAAAACCCCAGGACTGAGAAAGAGGAGGAAGGAGAGGAGCTGAAAAGGGGAAGGAAGAGGAGGTAAAAAAAAAAACCCAGGCCTGAGGAAGAGAAGGAAGAGGAAGGAGAGGAGCTGAAAAGGGTAGAAGAGGAGGCAAAAACCCCCCAGGACTGAGGAAGAGGAGGAAGGAGAGGAGCTGAAAAGGGGAAGAAAGAAGAGGCAAAAAAAAAACCCCAGGACTGAGGAAGAGGAAGGAGAGGAGCTGAAAAGGGGAAGGAAGAGGAGGCAAAAAAAACCCCAGGACTGAGGAAGAGGAGAAAGGAGAGGAGTTGAAAAGGGTAGAAGAGAAGGCAAAAAAAACCCCCCCAGGACTGAGGAAGAGGAGGAAGGAGAGGAGCTGAAAAGGGGAAGGAAGAGGAGGCAAAAAAAAACCCCAGGACTGAGGAAGAGGAGGAAGGAGAGGAGTTGAAAAGGGGAAGGAAGAGAAGGCAAAAAAAATCCCAGGACTGAGGAAGAGGAGGAAGGAGAGGAGCTGAAAAGGGGAATAAAGAGAAGGCAAAAAAAAACCCCAGGACTGAGGAAGAGGAGGAAGGAGAGGAGCTGAAAAGGGGAATGAAGAGGAGGCAAAAAAAAAACCCCAGGACTGAGGGAGGAAGGAAGAGGAAGAAGAGGAAGGAGAGGAGCTGAAAAGGGGAATGAAGAGGAGGCAAAAAAACCCCCAGGACTGAGGGAGGAAGGAAGAGGAGGAAGAGGAAGGAGAGGAGCTGAAAAGGGGAATGAAGAGGAGGTAAAAAAAACCCCAGGACTGAGGAAGAGGAGGAAGGAGAGGAGTTGAAAAGGATAGAAGAGGAGGCAAAAAAACCCCCCAGGACTGAGGAAGAAGAGGAAGAGGAAGGAGAGGAGCTGAAAAGGGGAATGAAGAAGAGGCAAAAAAAACCCCCAGCACTGAGAAAGGAAGAGGAGGAAGAGGAAGGAGAGGAGCCAAAAAGGAGAAGGAAGAGGAGGCGAAAAGAACTCCAGGGCTGGAGAGGAGGAGCCAAAAAGGAGAAGAAGAGGAGGCAAAAAAAAAACCCCAGGACTGAGAAAGGAAGAGGAGGAAGAGGAAGGAGAGGAGCTGAAAAGGGGAATGAAGAAGAGGCAAAAAAACCCCCAGGACTGAGGAAGAAGAGGAAGAGAAAGGAGAGGAGCTGAAAAGGGGAAGGAAGAGGAGGCAAAAAAAAAACCCCAGCACTGAGGAAGAGGAAGGAGAGGAGCTGAAAAGGGGAATGAAGAGGAGGCAAAAAAACCCCCAGCACTGAAGAAGGAAGAGGAGGAAGAGGAAGGAGAGGAGCTGAAAAGGGGAATGAAGAGGAGGCAAAAAAAACCCCAGGACTGAGGAAGAGGAGGAAGAGGAAGGAGAGGAGCTGAAAAGGAGAAGAAGAGGAGGCGAAAGGAACCCCAGGGTTGAGTAAGAGGAGAAAGAGAAAAGAGAGGAGGGAGAGGAGCTGAAAAGGAGAAGAAGAGGAGATGAAAAAACTCCAGGGCTGGAGAAGAGGAGGAAGAGGAGCTGAAAAGGAGAAGAAGAGGAGATGAAAAAACTCCAGGGCTGGAGAAGAGGAGGAAGAGGAGCTGAAAAGAAGAAGAGGAGGCAAAAGAAACTCCTGGACTGAAGAAGAGGAAGGAGAGGAGCTGAAAAGGGGAATGAAGAGGAGGCAAAAAAACCCCTAGGACTGAGGAAGACGAGGAAGGAGAGGAGCTGAAAAAGGGAAGGAAGAGGAGGCAAAAAAAACCCCCCAGGACTGAGGAAGGAAGAGGAGGAAGAGAAAGGAGAGGAGCTGAAAAGGGGAATGAAGAGGAGGCAAAAAAACCCCTAGGACTGAGGAAGACGAGGAAGGAGAGGAGCTGAAAAAGGGAAGGAAGAGGAGGCAAAAAAATCCCTAGGACTGAGGAAGAGGAGGAAGGAGAGGAGCTGAAAAGGGGAAGGAAGAGGAGGCAAAAAAATCCCTAGGACTGAGGAAGAGGAGGAAGGAGAGGAGCTGAAAAGGGGAATGAGGAGGAGGCAAAATAAACCCCCCTGGACTAGGAAGAGGAGGAAGAGGAGGAAGGAGAGGAGCTGAAAAGGGGAATGAAGAGGAGGCAAAAAAACCCCCAGGACTGAGGAAGAGGAGGAAGAGGAAGGAGAGGAGCTGAAAAGGGAAATGAAGAGGAGGCAAAAAACCCCCAGGACTGAGGAAGGAAGAGGAGGAAGAGGAAGGAGAGGAGCTGAAAAAGGGAAGGAAGAGGAGGCAAAAAAAAACCCCCAGGACTGAGGAAGGAAGAGGAGGGAGAGGAAGGAGAGGAGCTGAAAAGGGGAATGAAGAGAAGGCAAAAAAACCCCCAGCACTGAGAAAGGAAGAGGAGGAAGAGGAAGGAGAGGAGCCAAAAAGGAGAAGGAAGAGGAGGCGAAAAAAACCCCAGGACTGAGAAAGAAGAGGAAGAGGAAGGAGAGGAGCTGAAAAGGGGAATGAAGAGGAGGCAAAAAAAAAACCCCCAGGACTGAGGAAGAGGAAGGAGAGGAGCTGAAAAGGGGAATGAAGAGGAGGTAAAAAACCCCCAGGACTGAGGAAGAGGAGGAAGAGAAAGGAGAGGAGCTGAAAAGGGGAATGAAGAGGAGGCAAAAAAAACCCCCCAGGACTGAGGAAGAGGAGGCCGAGGAGGCCGAGGAGGAGGAGGGCAGGGCCGGGCCCCACCTCGTAGAAGTTGTCCTCGGTGACGTCGAGGGGCGCGTTGAAGAAGTGCAGCACGTTGGACGGGTGCTGGATGCGGTTCTTGGCCGCCTGCTCGGGCGTGGAGAAGCGGTTGTTGCGAGAGCCGCTGAAGTCCTTGTAGCTGCACGAGCCGTCCTCCAGCCCGTACGACTGCCCCGGCATGATGGCGTGCTGCTTGGACACACTGAGGGGGGAAACGGGGTCAGGGGAGCCCCAAAAACCGCGGGAGACACCCCAAAAATAACCCCCGGCGTGATGGCGTGCTGCTTGGATACACTGCAAGGGAAAGGGGGTCAGGGGAGCCCCAAAAACCGCGGGAACCACCCCAAAAATAATCACAAAATTGTGGGAGTTCACTCAAGGGTCACCCCGAGCCGTCCTCCAGCCCGTACGACTGCCCCGGCATGATGGCGTGCTGCTTGGACACACTGAGGGGGGAAAGGGGGTCAGGGGAGCCCCAAAAACCACGGGAACCACCCCAAAAATAACCCCCAGTGTGATGGCGTGCTGCTTGGACACACTGAGGGGGGAAAGGGGGTCAGGGGAGCCCCAAAAACCACGGAAAACACCCCAAAAATAACCCTCGGCGTGATGGCGTGCTGCTTGGATAAACTGCAAGGGAAAGGGGGTCAGGGGAGCCGCAAAAACCACGGGAGACACCCCAAAAATAACCCCTGGCGTGATGGCGTGCTGCTTGGACACACTGAGGGGGGAAAGGGGGTCAGGGGAGCCCCAAAAACCAGGGAAAACACCCCAAAAATAATCACAAAATTGAGGGAGTTCACCCAAGGGTCACCCCGAGCCGCCCTCCAGCCCCTACAACAGCCCCGGAATGAGGCCCTGGCGCTTCGACACTAAAAGGGGGGAAATGTGAGGGGAAAAGGGAAAAAAAGTGAGGGGAAAAAAGGTGGGAAATGTGAGGGGAAAATGGCGGGAAATGTGAGGAGAAAAAGGGTGGGAAACGTGAGGGGAAAATGGCGGGAAATGTGAGGGGAAAATGGAGGAAATGTGAGGGGGAAATGGAGAGAAATGGAGGGGGAAAGGTGGGAAATGTGAGGGGGAAAATGGTGGGAGATGTGAGGGGAAAAAAGGTGGGAAATGTGAGGGGAAAATGGCAGGAAATGTGAGGGGAAAAGGGCGGGAAATGTTGAGGGGGAAAATGGCGGGAAATGTGAGGAGAAAAATGGAGGGAAATGTGAGGGGGAAATGGAGGGAAATGTGAGGGGAAAATGGCGGGAAATGTTGAGGGGGAAAAGGGTGGGAAATGTGAGGGGGAAAGGGCAGGAAATGTGAGGGGAAAATGGCAGGACATGTGAGGGGAAAAGGGTGGGAAATGTGAGGGGGAAAATGGTGGGAAATGTGAGGGGGAAAATGGTGGGAAAAGGGTGGGAAATGTGAAGGAGAAAGGGTGGGAAACGTGAGGGGAAAATGGCAGGAAACATGAGAGGAAAATGGTGGGAAATGTGAGGGGAAAATGGCGGGAAATGTGAGGAGAAAAGGGCGGGAAATGCTGAGGGGGAAAAGGGTGGGAAACGTGAGGGGAAAATGGCAGGAAACAGGAGGGGAAAAACGCCCCCAGTCCCATCCCAGTGCAGGGGAACCCCCTGGACCCCCACAGACATTGAGTTCCTGCCTGAACGCGACGTCGTGCACTGAGGTGACGGCGCAGCCAACGCCGGACCCCCCAAATGCCACGAGACCCCCCTTCCCCCCGGGAGCCCCCAGACCCACCAGACGTTGAGCTTCTGGCCGAACATGAAGTTGTTGTTGAGGTGGGTGATGGCCCTGTCCACGGCGTAGCCGTCAGCCATCTCCACCATGGCCGCGCCCGGTTTGCTCTTCATGAACTTCACCTGCGCCGGGGAAAGGGGGGGGCACACAGGTGAGAAGCCCCCTCCCCACAGCCCCCTAGGAGTCCATCACCCCACCCCAGCCCCCGGGCACCTTCTCGACGTTGCCGTAGAGGCAGAAGACGTTGAAGACGCGGTCGCAGTTCATCTTGGCCTGGTCCAGCCCGTACACCATCAGCACGGGCGAGTCGGCGTGGGGGCCGTGAGTCGGGGGCGGCGGCGGGGGCGGGGGTGCCCGCACTGGGGGCCGTAGCGCCTGGGCCTCCGCCGGTGCCCCCGCCCACGGAGGGCCCATGCGCCGCCTCGTAGTGGGGCGGCCCGTAGCCCTCGTCGTGGTAGTGCCCGTGGTGGTACCCGCCGTGGGGGCCGCCTGGGGGGGGGTGAGAGACCCCCACAGTCAGGGGGGAGATGCTCTGGTGATGAGGGGTACCCCCTAAAATCGTGGGACCCCCAGTAAGGTGGGACACCCCAAACCATCGTGGGACCCCCCCTCAGTGATGTGGGGCACCCCAAAACATCATGGGACCCCCCCTCAGTGATGTGGGGCACCCCAAAACATCATGGGACCCCCCCTCAGTGATGTGGGGCACCCCCCAAAACATCATGGGACCCCCCCTCAGTGATGTGGGGCACCCCCCAAAATCGTGGGACCCCCCCTCAGTGATGTGGGACACCCCAAACCATCGTGGGACCCCCCCTCAGTGATGTGGGGCATCCCCCAAAATCGTGGGACCCCCCCTCAGTGATGTAGGGCACTCCCAAAACATCGTGGGACCCCCTCAGTGATGGGGCACCCCCAAAATCGTGGGACTCCCCTCAGTGATGTGCGGCACCCCTGACATCGTGGGACCCCCCCTCAGTGATGTGGGGCACCCCCCAAAATCGTTGGACCCCCCCTCAGTGATGTGGGGCACCCCCAAAATTGTGGGACCCCCAGTGACGTGGGGCACCCCAAAATTGTGGGACCCCTCAGTGATGTGGGGCACTCCCAAAATTGTGGGACCCCCTCAGTGATGTGGGGCACCCCTAAAATCGTGGGACCCCCTCTCAGTGATGTGGGCATCCCCAAAATCGTGGGACCCCCCCCCAGTAAGGTGGGGCACCCCAAAACATCATGGGACCCCCCCTCAGTGATGTGGGGCACCCCAAAATCGTGGGACCCCCTCAGTGATGTGGGGCACCCCCGAAAATCATTGGACCCCCCCTCAGTGATGTGGGGTACCCCAAAACATCGTGAGACCCCCCCTCAGTGATGTGGGACACCCCCCAAAATCGTGGGACCCCCCCTCAGTGATGTGGGGCATCCCCCAAAATCGTGGGACCCCCTCAGTGATGTGGGGCACCCCAAAATCGTGGGACCTCCCAGAGTGACAGGGGAGCCCTCAAAATCGTGGGACCCCCACTCAGTAAGGTGGGACACCCCAAAACATTGTGGGACCCCCCCTCAGTGATGTGGGGCATTCCCCAAAATCATGGGACCCCCCCCCAGTGATAGGGGACCCCTCAAAATATTGTGGGACCCCCCCTCAGTGATGTGGGGCACCCCCTCAAATCGTGGGACCCCCCCTCAGTGATGTGAGGCACCCCAAAACATCGTGGGACCTCCCAGTGACGTGGGGCATCCCTGACATCGTGGGACCCCCAGTGACGTGGGTACTCCCAAAATCGTGGGACCCCCCAGTAAGGTGGGACACCCCCTCAGTGATGTGGGGCACCCCCCAAAATCGTGGGACCCCCCCTCAGTGATGTGGGGCACCCCAAAACATCGTGGGACCCCCCCTCAGTAAGGTGGGACACCCCAAAACATCGTGGGACCCCCCCCCCAGTGATGTGGGGTACCCCCCAAAATCGTGGGACCCCCCCTCAGTGATGTGGGGCAGCCCCCAAAATCGTGGGACCCCCCTCAGTGATGTGGGGCACCCCCTCAAATCGTGGGACCCCCACTCAGTGATGGGGGTACCCCAGAACATCGTGGGACCCCCAGTGATGTGGGGCATCCCCAAAATCGTGGGACCCCCCCTCAGTGACGTGGGGCACCCCCTGACATCGTGGGACCCCCCCCTCAGTGATGTGGGGCACCCCAAAACATCGTGGGACCCCCCCCTCAGTGATGTGGGGTACCCCTCAAAATCGTGGGACCCCCCCTCAGTGATGTGGGGCACCCCAAAATCGGGGACCCTCAGTGAGGTGGGACACCCCAAAATCGTGGGACCCCCTCAGTGATGTGGGCACCCCAAAATCGTGGGACCCCCAGAGTGACAGGGGAGCCCTCAAAATCGTGGGACCCCCCCTCAGTGACGTGGGGCACCCCCCAAAATCATGGGACCCCCCCCTCAGTGATGTGGGGCACCCCCCAAAATTGTAGGACAACCCCCCCTCCCCAAAGACTGATGCAGGACCCCCAAGTGACGGGGAACCCCAAAATTGTTGGACCCCCCAAAAGTGACGGGGACCCTCCCCAACCTTATTCCCCCTAATTCACACCCCCTCCACAGTGGGACCCCTCATCACCCTGTGCCCCCCTCAACTCCCCCTTCCAAATTTCCCCCTCCTCACCCTCCAAACCGCTTCCCCACCCCCAATTTTGCCCCCAAGCCCCAGCCCCCAATTTTGCCCCCAAGCCCCCTGCCCCCAATTTTGCCCCCAGTTTTGCCCCCCCGTGCCGTACTCCGCTGGGTGGTCCCCAGGAGGGCTGGCGCTGCCTCTTGTTGGGGTTCCCACCGGGCTCTGCTGGGGAGGGTGAGGGGGACACACCCACAGCTCAGGGGGACACACCCATTTTGGGGGAGGGTTTGCTCCCACCCCCTCCCCCAAAAATTTGGGCACCTCCCCCTCCAGAGATTTTGGGCTCCCAAATTCTCCCCGCTCCTCCCAGGACCACCCAACACCTCCTTTACAGGTAAAGAGTGAGGGGGGACCAAACCCCCTCCCACCCCCAAATTTACAGGATCAGCACAAATTAACCCTCCACAATTAGCTGCTAATTAACCCTAACGAGCCCCTTCCTGAGCTGGGGGATGGGAAGGTGGGGAGAGGAGGGGAGGGGTCGAGGCAGCGCGAAACGGCGACTTTTTCCCCTCCTTCTTTTTTAAATCCTTCTTTTTTAAATCCTTTTTTTTTTTTTTAAATCCTCCCTCCTCGAGTCTCTCTGGGTTTCCCCCCAAAACGACACCAAAAAAACCACAAGAGGGGCTTTACTTACAGCTGAGTCAAGGGGGGGGCAAAAAAGTCCGTTTTGGCCCCGATTTGGGGGGTTTTCCCCTTCCCCCTCGAGGCTCCGAGCGCGCTACGGGCCCTGCAGCGGCACAGGGGGGACAGTCACAAGGGGGGCCCCCAATTTTGGGGGGGGGGGGTTCAAAACACCACAAAAAAAGGGGGTTAAAAACCCCCCAGGGAGGGGGTTCCTTGTCCGGGATGGGGTCGTTCCTCCTCCTGTGCGTGTCCTGTGTCCTCTGTGTGTTTTCCTTTGGCAGGTGTTTTTTTTTTTGGCTTGCTTTTGGTTGGTTGGTTTATTTTGAGGGGTGTCTCGCTGGTTGAGGTGGAAAAAAGTGGTAGAGGAAAGAGTGGGGGTCTCTCTGAGTGGTGAGGAGCAGCAAAGTGTGGTCTTGGAGTGGTGGAAACGTCCTAAAATGCACCCAAATGTGGTCTTGGAGTGGTGAGAGGTTCCTAAAATGCACCAAAATGTGGTCTTGGAGTGGTGGAAACATCCTAAAACCCAGCAAAGTGTGGTCTTGGAGTGGTGAGAGTTCCTGGAGTGCACCAAGAAATGGCCTTGGAGTGTTGCTGGAGTTGCTGGAAACCACCCAGAGATGGCCTTGGAGTGATGGAAACTTCCTAAAATGCACCCAAGTGTGGTCTTGGAGTGGTGAGAAGCTCCTAAAATGCACCCAAATGTGGTCTTGGAGTGGTGAGAAGTTCCTAAAATGCACCAAAATGTGGTCTTGGAGTGGTGAGAGTTGCTGGAAATGACCAAGAGATGGTCCTGGAGTGGTGGAAACATCCTAAAACCCAGCAAAGTGTGGTCTTGGAGTGGTGAGAGGTTCCTAAAATGCACCGAAATGTGGTCTTGGAGTGGTGAGAGTTCCTGGAAATGACCAAGAGATGGTCTTGGAGTGGTGAGAGCGTCTTAAAAACCACCCAGAGATGGTCTTGGAGTGGTGGAAACATCCTAAGAACCACTTTGAATGGTGAGAAGTTCCTAAAATGCACCAAAATGTGGCCTTGGAGTGGTGGAAACGTCCTAAAAACCACTTTGAATGGTGAGAGATTCCTAAAATGCACCGAAATGTGGCCTTGGAGTGGTGGAAACATCCTAAAAATCACCCAGAGATGGTCCTGGAGTGGTGAGAGGTTCCTAAAATGCACCAAAGTGTGGCCTTGGAGTGGTGAGAGCGTCTTAAAACCCATCAAAATGTGGTCTTGGAGTGGCGGAAACGTCCTAAAAACCACTTTGAATGGTGAGAGGTTCCTAAAATGCACCCAAATGTGGTCTTGGAGTGGTGAGAGTTCCTGGAGTGCACCAAGAAATGGCCTTGGAGTGGTGAGAGTTCCTGGAGTGCACCAAGAAATGGCCTTGGATTGGTGAGAGCATCCTAAAAACCACCCAGAGATGGTCTTGGAGTGGTGAAAAGATCCTAAAAGCCACCCAAATGGGATCTTGGAGTGATGAAAAGATCCTAAAAATCACCCAAATGGGATCCTGGAGTGATGAAAAGATCCTAAAAACCACCCAAATGGGATCCTGGAGTGATGAAAAGATCCTAAAAACCACCCAGAGATGGTCTTGGAGTGGTGAAAACATCCTAAAAATCACCCAGAGATGGTCTTGGAGTGATGAAAAGATCCTAAAAATCACCCAAATGGGATCTTGGAGTGATAAAAACATCCTAAAAGCCACCAAGAGATGGTCTTGGAGTGGTGAAAAGATCCTAAAAATCACCCAAATGGGATCTTGGAGTGATGAAAAGATCCTAAAAACCACCAAGAAATGGTCTTGGAGTGGTGAAAAGATCCTAAAAATCACCCAAATGGGATCTTGGAATGATGAAAAGATCCTAAAAATCACCCAAATGGGATCTTGGAATGATGAAAAGATCCTAAAAACCAGCAAAGAGGGATCTTGGAATGGTGGAATTGTCCTAAATGTGCTCCTGGAGCTGAGAGAATTCCTAAAGAACCATCCCAAAGACATCCCTGGAAAGCCAAGAGATCCCCCCAAAAACACCCCAAGAGTCTCAGAAAGGAGGAAATTCCTAAAAAAAAAGATAAAAATCGTTCTGGGAAGGTGGGAAATTCCTTAAAAAACCCACCAGAACTGGGGCCTTGGGAGAGAATTCCTAAAGAAAACCCCCTGGAATTGGGTCTTGGGAATTGTGCCTTGGAAGTTGAACCGTGTTGAGAAATTCCAAAAAAACCGCCCAAACTGGGCCTTGGGAAGTGAGAGAATTCCTGGAAAACCACTGGGATTGTGCCTTGGGAATTGTGTCCTGTGGTGCCTTTGGAAGTGAGAGAATTCCTGGAAAACCACTGGAATGTTGTGCCTTGGAATTGTGTCCTGTGGTGCCTTTGGAAGTGAGAGAATTCCTGGAAAAACCACTGGGATTGTACCTTGGGAATTGTGTCCTGTGGTGCCTTTGGAAGTGAGAGAGAATTCCTGGAAAAACCACTGGAATGTTGTGCCTCGGAATTTTTGTGGCCGCGCCAAATCTGTTTGTTGTGCCTTTGGAAGTAAAAGAATTCCTGGGAAAACCACTGGGATTGTGCCTTGGAATTTTTGTGTCCTGTGGTGCCTTTGGAAGTGAGAGAATTCCTGGAAAACCACTGGGATTGTGCCTTGGAATTTTTGTGTCCTGTGGTGCCTTTGGAAGTGAGAGAATTCCTGGAAAAACCACTGGGATTGTGCCTTGGAATTTTTGTGTCCTGTGGTGCCTTTGGAAGTGAAAGAATTCCCAGATTTTGCCTTGGAATTGTGTCCTGTGGTGCCTTTGGAAGTGAAAGAATTCCTGGAAAAACCACTGGGATTGTGCCTTGGAATTTTTGTGTCCTGTGGTGCCTCTGGAAGTGAAAGAATTCCTGGAAAAACCACTGGGATTGTGCCTTGGAATTTTTGTGTCCTGTGGTGCCTTTGGAAGTGAAAGATTCCCGGATTGTGCCTTGGAATTGTGTCCTGTGGTGCCTTTGGAAGTGAGAGAATTCCCAGATTTTGCCTTGGAATTGTGTCCTGTGGTGCCTTTGGAAGTGAGAGAATTCCCAGATTGTGCCTTGGAATTGTGTCCTGTGGTGCCTTTGGAAGTGAGAGAATTCCTGGAAAAACCACTGGGATTGTGCCTTGGAATTTTTGTGTCCTTGGAAAAGTTGGACCCGCCCACTCTGTTGGTTGTGCCTTTGGAAGTGAGAGAATTCCTGGAAAAACCACTGGAATGTTGTGCCTTGGAATTGTGTCCTTGGAAAAGCTGAACCCTCCCAGTCTGTGCCTTTGGAAGTGAGAGAATTCCTGGAAAAACCACTGGGATTGTGCCTTGGAATTGTGTCCTGTGGTGCCTTTGGAAGTGAAAGAATTCCTGGAAAACCACTGGAATGTTGTGCCTTGGAATTGTGTCCTTGGAAAAGCTGAACCCTCCCAGTCTGTGCCTTTGGAAGTGAGAGAATTCCTGGAAAAACCACTGGGATTGTACCTTGGGAATTGTGTCCTGTGGTGCCTTTGGAAGTGAGAGAATTCCTGCAAAACCACTGGAATGTTGTGCCTTGGAATTGTGTCCTGTGGTGCCTTTGGAAGTGAGAGAATTCCTGGAAAACCACTGGGATTGTGTCCTTGGAAAAGTTGGACCCGCCCAATCTGTGGTGCCTTTGGAAGTGAGAGAATTCCCGGATTTTGCCTTGGAATTGTGTCCTGTGGTGCCTTTGGAAGTGAGAGAATTCCTGGAAAACCACTGGGATGTTGTGCCTTGGAATTGTGTCCTGTGGTGCCTTTGGAAGTGAGAGAATTCCTGGAAAAACCACTGGGATTGTGCCTTGGAATTGTGTCCTGTGGTGCCTTTGGAAGTGAGAGAATTCCTGGAAAACCACTGGAATGTTGTGCCTTGGAATTGTGTCCTGGAAGTTGAACTGTGGTGTGAAATTATTCCTGAAAAAAAACCGCTGGAATTGTGTCCTTGGAAAAGTTGGACCCTCCCAATCTGTGGTGCCTTTGGAAGTGGGAGAATTCCTGGAAAACCACTGGAATTGTGCCTCGGAATTTATACCTTGGAATTTGTGCCTTGGAAGTTAAACCGTGTCGAGAAATTCCTAAAAATAAAAAGAAGCCCAAACTGGGCCTTGGGAAGTGAGAGAATTCCTGGAAAACCACTGGGATTGTGCCTTGGGAATTGTGTCCTGTGGTGCCTTTGGAAGTGAGAGAATTCCTGGAAAACCACTGGAATGTTGTGCCTTGGGAATTGTGTCCTGTGGTGCCTTTGGAAGTGAGAGAATTCCTGGAAAACCACTGGGATTGTGCCTTGGAATTGTGTCCTGTGGTGCCTTTGGAAGTGGGAGAATTCCTGGAAAAACCACTGGGATTGTGCCTTGGGAATTGTGTCCTGTGGTGCCTTTGGAAGTGAGAGAATTCCTGGAAAAACCACTGGGATTGTGCCTTGGAATTTTTGTGTCCTGTGGTGCCTTTGGAAGTGAAAGAATTCCCGGATTTTGCCTTGGAATTGTGTCCTGTGGTGCCTTTGGAAGTGAGAGAATTCCTGGAAAAACCACTGGAATGTTGTGCCTTGGAATTGTGTCCTTGGAAAAGTTGGACCCGCCCAATCTGTGGTGCCTTTGGAAGTGAGAGAATTCCCAGATTTTGCCTTGGAATTGTGTCCTGTGGTGCCTTTGGAAGTGAAAGAATTCCCGGACTGTGCCTTGGAATTGTGTCCTGTGGTGCTTTTGGAAGTGAGAATTCCTGGGAAAACCACTGGGATTGTGCCTCGGAATTTTTGTGTACTTGGAAAAGTTGGACCCGCCCACTTTGTTGGTTGTGCCTTTGGAAATGAGAGAATTCCTGGAAAAACCACTGGAATGTTGTGCCTTGGAATTGTGTCCTTGGAAAAGCTGAACCCTCCCAGTCTGTGCCTTTGGAAGTGAGAGAATTCCTGGAAAAACCACTGGGATTGTGCTTTGGAATTGTGTCCTGTGGTGCCTTTGGAAGTGAGAGAATTCCTGGAAAACCACTGGGATTGTGCCTTGGAATTTTTGTGTCCTGTGGTGCCTTGGGAAGTGAGAGAATTCCTGGAAAACCACTGGGATTGTGTCCTTGGAAAAGTTGGACCCGCCCAATCTGTGGTGCCTTTGGAAGTGAGAGAATTCCTGGATTGTGCCTTGGAATTGTGTCCTGTGGTGCCTTTGGAAGTGAAAGAATTCCTGGAAAAACCACTGGGATTGTGTCCTTGGAATTGTGTCCTGTGGTGCTTTTGGAAGTGAGAATTCCCGGAAAACCACTGGGATTGTGCCTCGGAATTTTTGTGTCCTTGGAAAAGTTGGACCTGCCCACTCTGTTGGTTGTGCCTTTGGAAATGAGAGAATTCCTGGAAAAACCACTGGAATGTTGTACCTCGGAATTTTTGTGTCCACACCAAATCTGTTTGTTGTGCCTTTGGAAGTAAAAGAATTCCTGGGAAAACCACTGGGATTGTGCCTTGGAATTTTTGTGTCCTGTGGTGCCTTTGGAAGTGAGAGAATTCCTGGGAAAACCACTGGAATTGTACCTTGGAATTGTGTCCTGTGGTGCCTTTGGAAGTGAGAGAATTCCTGGAAAACCACTGGGATTGTGCCTTGGAATTGTGTCCTGTGGTGCCTTTGGAAGTGAGAGAATTCCTGGAAAACCACTGGGATTGTGCCTTGGAATTTTTGTGTCCTGTGGTGCCTTTGGAAGTGAGAGAATTCCCGGATTTTGCCTTGGAATTTTTGTGTCCTGTGGTGCCTTTGGAAGTGAGAGAATTCCTGGAAAAACCACTGGAATGTTGTGCCTTGGAATTGTGTCCTTGGCAAAGCTGAACCCTCCCAGTCTGTGCCTTTGGAAGTGAGAGAATTCCCGGAAAAACCACTGGAATGTTGTGCCTCAGAATTTTTGTGGCCGCGCCAAATCTGTCTGTTGTGCCTTTGGAAGTAAAAGAATTCCTGGGAAAACCACTGGGATTGTGTCCTTGGAAAAGCTGCTGAACCCGCCCGACCTGTGGTGCCTTTGCCAGTGAAAGAATTCCCAAAAAAACAGAGAGAATTCCCGTGGCTTTTTCCGTGGTTTTTTTTGTCCCCACTGCCAGGTGGGGGGTGTTGGTTTTTTTTGGGAATGTTGGGAATGTCGTGCCGTGTCCCTCAGCAGGAGGGGGTTGTTTTTTTTTTGGGAATGTCGTGCCGTGTCCCTCGGCAGGAGGGGGTTGTTTTTTTTTTGGGAATGTCGTGCCGTGTCCCTCGGCGGGGGGTCCTGCCGGTGTTTTTTTGGCTCTCCGTGTGTGGTGAGGGGTGTGAGGAGGAGGAGGAGGAAGAGGAGGAAGAGGAAGGGGGGGAGGAGGAATCCGGTCGGGAATTCCGCTGCCGCTTCCCCCCGGGAAAGATCCCCCCCCCCACAACCCCAAAATCCATCGGGATCGTCACCCACCCCCTGGAATTGTCACCCTGGGGGTGCCCAGGTGAGCTCAGGTGACCCCCACGTGTGTCCAGGTGACCCCCAGGTGTGCCCAGGTGAGCTCAGGTCACTCTCAGGTGTGCCCAGGTGTACCCAGGTGACCCCCAGGTGTGCCCAGGTCACCCCCAGGTGTGCCCAGGTGTGCTCAGGTGACCCCCAAGCGTGCCCAGGTGACCCTCAAGTGTGCCCAGGTCACCCCCAGGTGACCCCCAGGTGAGCTCAGGTCATGCCCAGGTGTGCCCAGGTGACCCCCAGATGTGCCCAGGTGACCCCCAGGTGTGCCCAGATCACCCCCAGGTGTGCCCAGGTCACCCCCAGGTGAGCCCAGGTCACCCCCAGGTGTGCCCAGGTCACCCCCAGGTGTGCCCAGGTCACCCCCAGGTGTACCCAGGTCACCCCCAGGTGTGCCCAGGTGTGCTCAAGTGACCCCCAGGCATGCCCAGGTGACCCCCAGGTGTGCCCAGGTGACCCCCAGGTGTGCCCAGGTGTTGCTGTACCTGTGCCACTCAGGTTGGGGTTGGTGTAGTCCCAGGTGTCCTGGTCGTTCTTGAACACGTTCAGGCGGCTGGGCTGGAAGGGGGGAAGGGGCACAAATGGGGGGGTTGGCACCTGCACATGGGTGTGCCCAGGTACCCCAGGTGTGTGCCCAGGTACCCCCAGGTAACCCCATGTGTGTGCCCAGGTACCCCCAGGTAACCCCACGTGTGTCCCCAGGTACCCCCAGGTGTGTGCCCAGGTACCCCCAGGTATGTGCCCAGGTGCCCCCAGGTGTGCCCCCACATGTTCCCAGATGTCCCCAGGCATCCCCACATGTCCCCAGGTGTGTGCCCAGGTATGCCCAGGTACCCCCAGGTGTGTGCCCAGGTGTGCCCCCACATGTTCCGAGACGTCCCCAGGTATCCCCAGGTGTGTGCCCAGGTGTGCCCAGATGTGTGCCCAGGTATGCCCAGGTACCCCCCAGGTGTGTGCCCACATGTCCCCAGGTGTGTGCCCAGGTACCCCCAGGTACCCCCAGGTGTGTGCCCAGGTGTGCCCCCACATGTTCTGAGACATCCCCAGGTATTCCCACATGTCCCCAAGTGTGTGCCCAGGTACCCCCAGGTGTGTGCCCAGGTGTGCCCAGGTATCCCAAATGTTCCCATCTACCCCCAGGTACCCCCAGGTGTGTTCCCAGGCCCCCCCAGGTGCCCCAGGTGTGCCCAGATGTGTGCCCAGGTACCCCCAGGTATCCCCAGGTGTGTGCCCAGGTGTCCCCAGGTGTGTGCCCAGGTATCCCCAAATGTTGCCATCTACCCCCATGTACCCCCAGGTGTGTTCCCAGGTCCCCCCAGGTGCCCCAGGTGTGCCCAGGTGTGTGCCCAGGTACCCCCAGGTATCCCCAGGTGTGTGCCCAGGTGTGCCCAGGGGTGTGCCCAGGTATCCCAAATGTTCCCATCTACCCCCAGGTACACCCAGGTGTGTGCCCAGGCCCCCCCAGGTGCCCCAGGTGTGCCCAGATGTGTGCCCAGGTACCCCCAGGTATCCCCAGATGTGTGCCCAGGTAATCCCAAATGTTCCCATCTACCCCCAGGTACACCCAGGTGTGTTCCCAGGCCCCCCCAGGTGCCCCAGGTGTGCCCAGATGTGTGCCCAGGTACCCCCAGGTATCCCCAGGTGTGTGCCCAGATGTATGCCCAGGTATCCCCAAACGTTCCCATCTACCCCCAGGTACCCCCAGGTGTGTTCCCAGGCCCCCCCAGGTGCCCCAGGTGTGCCCAGATGTGTGCCCAGGTACCCCCAGGTATCCCCAGGTGTGTGCCCAGGTGTGCCCAGGTGTGTGCCCAGGTATCCCCAAACGTTCCCATCTACCCCCAGGCCCCCCCAGGTGCCCCAGGTGTGCCCACCTTGGCGTACTCGATCTTGAGGGTGCAGCAGCCCGAGTAGATGTCGGCGCCGTTGAGAGAGGCCTTGGCACGCTGGGCACTCTGCACCGAGTCAAACCTGCCCTGGGGTCAAGGAATCAACCAAATCCCGGGAATTCTGGGAATTCTGGGATTGGGGACACCTGGGGGGACACCTGGGGGGACACCTGAGCTCATGGGGGGGACACCTGGGGGGACACCTGAGGGGACACCTTGGCACGCTGGGCGCTCTGCACGGAGTCAAACCTGCCCTGGGGTCAAGGAATGCACCAAATCCCGGGAATTCTGGGAATGCTGGGAATTCTGGGATTGGGGACACCTGGGGGGACACCTGGGGGGACTTCTGAGCTCCTGGGGGGGACACCTGGAGGGGACACCTGGGGGGACACCTGGGGGGACACCTTGGCACGCTGGGCGCTCTGCACGGAGTCAAACCTGCCCTGGGGTCAAGGAATGCACCAAATCCCGGGAATTCTGGGAATGCTGGGATTGGGAACACCTGGGGGGACACCTGGGGGGACACCTGAGGGGACACCTGGGGGGACACCTGAGGGGACACCTGGGGGGACACCTTGGCACGCTGGGCACTCTGCACGGAGTCAAACCTGCCCTGGGGTCAAGGAATGCAACCAAATCCCGGGAATTCTGGGAATGCTGGGAATTCTGGGATTGGGGACACCTGGGGGGACACCTGAGGGGACACCTTGGCACGCTGGGCGCTCTGCACGGAGTCAAACCTGCCCTGGGGTCAAGGAATGCACCAAATCCCGGGAATTCTGGGAATGCTGGGATTGGGGACACCTGAGGGGACACCTGGGGGGACACCTGGGTGAGTTGGGAACACCTGAAGTGGTTGGGAACACCTGGATGAGTTAAGAACTGGATTGGCTGGGAACACCTGGACTGGCTGGGAACACATGGATGAGTTGGGAAGAACTGGATTGGTTGGGAACACCTGGATTGGATGGGAACACCTGGATGGGTTGGCAACACCTGGATGGGATGGGAACACCTGGATTGGATCAGAACACCTGGATTGACTGAGAACACCTGGACTGGCTGGGAACATCTGGACTGCTTGGGAACACCTGGATTGGTTGGGAAGAACTGGATTGATTGGGAACACCTGGATGGGAACACCTGGATTGGCTGGGAACACCTGGATTGGTTGGGAACACCTGGATTGATTGAGAACACCTGGATTGACTGGGAACACCTGGATTGGTTGGGAACACCTGGATTGACTGGGAACACCTGGATTGGATGGGAACACCTGGATGGGATGGGAACACCTGGATCCACTTCCTGCCGCAGCCCCAGATTTTGGGGACCCCCCCCCAGGCCCCCAGAGATTCCCAAATCCGTGTTTCCCAGGATATTCCACCATGGCCTGGACGCCGTTCTTGCGGAAGATGACGATCCTCTGCACCGGCCCGCACGGGTTGCAGATGGTGTACAGCACGTCCTGGGGGCACAGCGGGGGTCAGCGCACCCCAAAACACACCTGGGACCCCCCAAAATACCCTGGGAGCCCCCAGAAATACCCTGGGAACCCTGGGACACCCCAGAAATACCCTGGGATTCCAAAAATATCCTGGGACCCCCCAAAATACCCTGGGACACCCCAGAAATAGCCTGGGAACCCCCAAAATACCCTGGGAGCCCCCAAAATACCCTGGGACCCCCCAAAATACCCTGGGAGCCCCCCGAAATAGCCTGGGATTCCAAAAATATCCTGGGACACCCCAAAATACCCTGGGACCACCCAGAAATAGCCTGGGACACACCAGAATACCCTGGGATCCCAAAATACCCTGGGACCCCCAGAAATACCCTGGGACACCCCAAAAATACCCTGGGACCCCCAAAATACCCTGGGACCCCCCAAAAATACCCTGGGGATCCCAAAAATGCCCTGGGATCCCAAAAATACCCTGGGACCCCCCAAAAATACCCTGGGACTCCCCAGAAATACCCTGGGATCCCAAAAATGCCCTGGGACCCCCCAAAAAAAACCGACCTGGGACCCCCAAAATAACCCGGGGACACCTAAAAAAACCAACCTGGAACCCCCAAAAATACCCTGGGATCCCAAAAATACCCCGGGACCCTGAAAAAAACAACCTGGGACCCCAAAATCGCCCCAAACCCTCACCCACCGTGGTGATGGACTAGATGGGGTTGAGGATGGTGAAGAGCAGCACGTTGGTGACCCCCCCAAAATCCCCTCAGGATCCCCCCAAACCCCCACTCACCGTGGTGATGGAGTAGATGGGGTTGAGGATGGTGAAGAGCAGGACGTTGGTGACCCCCCAAAATCCCCTCAGGATCCCCTCAAATCCCCCCTAAACCCCCCAAATCCCCTCAGGACCCCCCAAACCCTCACTCACCGTGGTGATGGAGTAGATGGGGTTGAGGATGGTGAAGAGCAGGACGTTGGTGACCCCCAAATCCCCCTAAAGCCCCCCAAATCCCCAGGACCCCCAAACCCTCACCCACCGTGGTGATGGAGTAGATGGGGTTGAGGATGGTGAAGAGCAGGACGTTGTTGACGCCCCAAATTCCCCCTAAAGCCCCTCAGGACCCCCCCAGACCCCCCCAAATGACACTCACCGTGGTGATGGAGTAGATGGGGTTGAGGATGGTGAAGAGCAGGACGTTGGTGACGCCCCAAGCCCCCAAATCCCCCTAACACCCCCAAATCCCCTCAGGACCCCCAAATCCCCTCAGGACCCCCAAACCCCCAGATGACACCCACGTGGTGATGGAGTAGATGGGGTTGAGGATGGTGAAGAGCAGCACGTTGGTGACCCCCAAATCCCCTCAGGACCCCCAAACCCCCCAAACCCTCACCCACCGTGGTGATGGAGTAGATGGGGTTGAGGATGGTGAAGAGCAGGACGTTGTTGACGCCAAATCCCCTCAGGATCCCTCAAATTCCCCTAAACCCCCAAATCCCCTCAGGACCCCCAAACCCCTAAACCCCCAAGCCCTCACCCACCGTGGTGATGGAGTAGATGGGGTTGAGGATGGTGAAGAGCAGGGCGTTGTTGGCCCTCAAATCCCCCTAAAGCGCCCCCAATCCCCTAAACCCCCAAACCCTCACTCACCATGGTGATGGAGTAGATGGGGTTGAGGATGGTGAAGAGCAGGACGTTGGTGACGCCCAAATCCCCTAAAGCCCCCAAATCCCCTAAAGCGCCCCAAATCCCCAGGACCCCAAATCCACACCCACCGTGGTGATGGAGTAGATGGGGTTGAGGATGGTGAAGAGCAGCACGTTGGTGACCCCTCAGGACCCCCCAAATCCCCTCAGGACCCCCAAACCCACACTCACTGTGGTGATGGAGTAGATGGGGTTGAGGATGGTGAAGAGCAGGACGTTGGTGAGCCCCAAACCCCCCAAATCCCCCTAACACCCCCAAATCCCCCTAAAGCCACCCAGATCCCCTCAGGACCCCCAAACCCACACCTCACCGTGGTGATGGAGTAGATGGGGTTGAGGATGGTGAAGAGCAGCACATTGGTGACCCCCAAAATCCCTCAGGACCCCCAAACCCCCAAATGACACCCACCGTGGTGATGGAGTAGATGGGGTTGAGGATGGTGAAGAGCAGCACATTGGTGACCCCCAAATCCCCTCAGGACCCCCCAAACCCCCAGATGACACCCACCGTGGTGATGGAGTAGATGGGTTGAGGATGGTGAAGAGCAGCACGTTGGTGATCCCCCAAAATCCCCTCAGGATCCCCTCAAATCCCCCTAAACCCCCAAATCCCCTCAGGACCCCCAAAACCCACACTCACCGTGGTGATGGAGTAGATGGGGTTGAGGATGGTGAAGAGCAGGATGTTGGTGACCCCCAAATCCCCTAAAGCCCCCAAATCCCCAGGACCCCCAAACCCTCACCCACCGTGGTGATGGAGTAGATGGGGTTGAGGATGGTGAAGAGCAGCACGTTGTTGACGCCCCAAATTCCCCCTAAAGCCCCTCAGGACCCCCCAAACCCCCTCAAATGACACTCACGGTGGTGATGGAGTAGATGGGGTCGAGGATGGTGAAGAGCAGGACGTTGGTGACCCCCAAATCCCCCAAATCCCCCTAACACCCCCCAAATCCCCTCAGGACCCCCCAAATCCCCTCAGGACCCCCAAACCCCCCAGATGACACCCACCGTGGTGATGGAGTAGATGGGGTTGAGGATGGTGAAGAGCAGCACGTTGGTGACCCCCCAAATCCCCTCAGGACCCCCCCAAAACCCCCCAAACCCTCACCCACCGTGGTGATGGAGTAGATGGGGTTGAGGATGGTGAAGAGCAGGACGTTGTTGACGCCCCAAAATCCCCTCAGGATCCCCTCAAATTCCCCTAAACCCCCAAATCCCCTCAGGACCCCCAAGCCCTCACCCACCGTGGTGATGGAGTAGATGGGGTTGAGGATGGTGAAGAAGCAGCACATTGGTGACCCCTCAGGACCCCCAAATCCCCTCAGGACCCCCAAAACCCACACTCACCGTGGTGATGGAGTAGATGGGGTTGAGGATGGTGAAGAGCAGGACGTTGGTGACCCCCAAATCCCCTAAAGCCCCCAAATCCCCCAGGACCCCCAAACCCTCACCCACCGTGGTGATGGAGTAGATGGGGTTGAGGATGGTGAAGAGCAGCACGTTGTTGGCGCCCCAAATTCCCCTAAAGCCCCCTAGTCCCCCTAAAGCCCCCAAAGCCACACCCACCGTGGTGATGGAGTAGATGGGGTCGAGGATGGTGAAGAGCAGGGCGTTGGTGACCCCCCAAATCCCCCCAGGACCCCCCAAACCCTCACCCACCGTGGTGATGGAGTAGATGGGGTTGAGGATGGTGAAGAAGCAGCATGTTGGTGACCCCCAAATTCCCCTAAAGCCCCCAAATCCCCTCAGGACCCCCAGACCCCCAAACCCTCACTCACGGTGGTGATGGAGTAGATGGGGTTGAGGATGGTGAAGAGCAGCACGTTGGTGACCCCTCAGGACTCCCCCAAATCCCCTCAGGACCCCCCAAACCCACACTCACTGTGGTGATGGAGTAGATGGGGTTGAGGATGGTGAAGAGCAGGACGTTGGTGAGCCCCCAAACCCCCAAATCCCCCTAACACCCCCCAAATCCCCCTAAAGCCACCCAGATCCCCTCAGGACCCCCAAACCCTCACCCACCGTGGTGATGGAGTAGATGGGGTTGAGGATGGTGAAGAGCAGGACGTTGTTGACCCCCCAAATTCCCCTAAAGCCCCCTGAAATCCCCTCAGGACCCCCAGACCCCCCCAAATGACACTCACCGTGGTGATGGAGTAGATGGGGTTGAGGATGGTGAAGAGCAGGACGTTGGTGAGCCCCCAAATCCCCTCAGGACCCCCCAAACCCCCTCAAATGACACTCACCGTGGTGATGGAGTAGATGGGGTTGAGGATGGTGAAGAGCAGCACATTGGTGACCCCCAAAATCCCCTCAGGATCCCCCCTCCCTAAATTCCCCCCTAAACCCCCCAAATCCCCTCAGGACCCCCAAAGCCCTCACCCACCGTGGTGATGGACTAGATGGGGTTGAGGATGGTGAAGAGCAGCACATTGGTGACCCCCAAATCCCCTCAGGATCCCCCCAAACCCTCACCCACCGTGGTGATGGAGTAGATGGGGTTGAGGATGGTGAAGAGCAGGACGTTGTTGACGCCCCAAATCCCCTCAGGACCCCCAAATCCCCTCAGGACCCCCAAACCCCCCAGATGACACCCACCGTGGTGATGGAGTAGATGGGGTTGAGGATGGTGAAGAGCAGGACGTTGTTGATGCCCCAAATCCCCCCTAAACCCCCCAAACCCTCACCCACCGTGGTGATGGAGTAGATGGGGTTGAGGATGGTGAAGAGCAGCACGTTGTTGACTCCCCTGGCGTCGTCGCTGTCCCCTGGCCGGGAGATTTTCTGGCTGGTGGAGTAGTTGACGAAGGCCGGGTGCCCCGCGAAGTAGATCTGGTTGTCGGCGGCGAAGTTGACGGCGTTGCAGGCGCCCAGGATGTCCTCGAACTCCACCAGCGCCTGCCGCTTCTTCGGCATCACCACCACGTAGCTGGGACACCAGAAAAGGGGACAGGGTCACTGCGGGGTCACCACGGGGTCACTGTCACCGGTGTCACCACCCCATGGCATCACCACCCCATGGCATCACCACCACGTAGCTGGGACACCAGAAAAGGGGACAGGGTCACCACCCCATGGCATCACCACCACGTAGCTGGGACACCAGAAAAGGGGACAGGGTCACCACGGGGTCACTGTCACCGGTGTCACCACCCCATGGCATCACCACCACGTAGCTGGGACACCAAAAAAGGGGACAGGGTCACCACAGGGTCACCATGGGGTCACTGTGACCGGTGTCACCACCACGTAGCTGGGACACCAGAAAAGGGACAGGGTCACCACGGGGTCACTGTCACCGGTGTCACCACCACGTAACTAGGACACCAGAAAAGGGGACAGGGTCACCACCCCATGGCATCACCACCCCATGGCATCACCACCACGTAGCTGGGACACCAAAAAAGGGGGCAGGGTCACCACAGGGTCACCACCCCATGGCATCACCACCACGTAGCTGGGACACCAAAAATGGGGACAGGGTCACCACGGGGTCACTGTCACCGGTGTCACCACCACGTAACTAGGACACCAGAAAAGGGGACAGGGTCACCATGGGGTCACCACACCATGGGGTCACCACCACGTAGCTGGGACACCAAAAAAGGGACAGGGTCACCACCCCATGGCATCACCACCACGTAGCTGGGACACCACAAAAGGGGACAGGGTCACCATGGGGTCACTGCCACCGGTGTCACCACCCCACGGCATCACCACCACGTAGATGGGACACCAGAAAAGGGGACAGGGTCACCACCCCATGGCATCACCACCACATAACTGGCACACCAAAAATGGGGACAGGGTCACCACAGGGTCACTGCCACCGGTGTCACCACCACGTAGCTGGGACACCAAAAAAGGGGACAGGGTCACCACCCCATGGCATCACCACCCCATGGCATCACCACCACGTAGATGGGACACCAGAAAAGGGGACAGGGTCACCACCCCATGGCATCACCACCCCATGGCATCACCACCACATAGCTGGGACACCAGAAAAGGGGACAGGGTCACCACGGGGTCACCACGGGGTCACTGTGACCGGTGTCACCACCCCACGGTATCACCACCACGTAGCTGAGACACCAAAAAAGGGACAGGGTCACCACGGGGTCACAGGGTCACTGGACGTGTCACCACCCCACGGTATCACCACCACGTAGCTGAGACACCAAAAAAGGGACAGGGTCACCACGGGGTCACCACAGGGTCACTGCCACCAGTGTCACCACCACGTAGCTGGGACACCAAAAAGGGGACAGGGTCACCACCCCATGGCATCACCACCACGTAGCTGGGACACCAAAAAGGGGACAGGGTCACCACCCCATGGCATCACCACCCCATGGCATCACCACCACGTAGCTGGGACACCAAAAAAGGGGACAGGGTCACCACCCCATGGCATCACCACCCCATGGCATCATCACCACATAGCTGGGACACCAGAAAAGGGGACAGGGTCACCATGGGGTCACCACACCATGGGGTCACCACCACGTAGCTGGGACACCAAAAAAGGGGACAGGGTCACCACGGGGTCACCATGGGGTCACTGCCACCGGTGTCACCACCACGTAGCTGGGACACCAAAAAAGGGACAGGGTCACCACGGGGTCACTGTCACCGGTGTCACCACCCCACGGTGTCACCACCACATAACTGGGACAGTGTCCCCAAATGTCCCCAGATGTCCCCAGGATCACCTGATGGGCCCAAACTCCTGCAGGGCCTCCACCAGGTCAGCCTTTTGTGTCCCCAATGTCCCCATATCCCCTGATGTCCCCAATGTCCCCCAATGTCCCCACATCCCCTGATGTCCCCAAATGTCCCCTGATGTCCCCAAATGTCCCCAGGGTCACCTGATGGGACCAAACTCCTGCAGGGCCTCCACCAGGTCAGCCCCTGTGTCCCCAATGTCCCCACATCCCCTGATGTCCCCAGATGTCCCCTGATGTCCCCAAATGTCCCCAGATGTCCCCAAATGTCCCCAGGGTCACCTGATGGGCCCAAACTCCTGCAGGGCCTCCACCAGATCAGCCTCTGTGTCCCCAATGTCCCCACATCCCCTGATGTCCCCTGATGTCCCCAAACGTCCCCAGGGTCACCTGATGGGCCTGAACTCCTGCAGGGCCTCCACCAGATCAGCCTTTTTTGTCTCCAATGTCCCCACATCCCCTGATGTCCCCTGATGTCCCCAAATGTCCCCAGGGTCACCTGATGGGCCCAAACTCCTGCAGGGCCTCCACCAGATCAGCCCCTGTGTCCCCAATGTCCCCACATCCCCTGATGTCCCCACATCCCCTGATGTCCCCCAATGTCCCCAGGGTCACCTGATAGGCCTGAACTCCTGCAGGGCCTCCACCAGATCAGCCCCTGTGTCCCCACATCCCCTGATGTCCCCAATGTCCCCTGATGTCCCACATCCCTGATGTCCCCAATGTCCCCAATGTCCCCAAATGTCCCCAGGTGTCACACCTGATGGTCCCTAAATCTCCTCAGGGCCTCCACCAGAGTCAGCCCTCTGATGTCCCCAATGTCCCCACATCCCCTGATGTCCCCTAGATGTCCCCAAATGTCCCCAGGGTCACCTGATGGGCCCAAACTCCTGCAGGGCCTCCACCAGATCAGCCCCTGTGTCCCCAATGTCCCCACATCCCCTGATGTCCCCAAATGTCCCCCAATGTCCCCACATCCCCTGATGTCCCCAATGTCCCCACATCCCCTGATGTCCCCAGATGTCCCCTGATGTCCCCAAATGTCCCCAGGGTCACCTGATGGGCCTGAACTCCTGCAGGGCCTCCACCAGATCAGCCTTTGTCCTAGTGTCCCCACATCCCTGATGTCCCCAATGTCCCCTGATGTCCCCACATCTGATGTCCCCAATGTCCCCAATGTCCCCAGTGCCCTGATGTCCCCAATGTCCCCACGATCGCCTGATGTCCCCAGATGTCCCCAATATCCCCTGATGTCCCCAAATGTCCCCACATCCCCTGATGTCCCCAATGTCCCCTGATGTCCCCAAATGTCCCCCAGATGTCCCCAATGTCCCCAGGGTCACCTGATGGGCCCAAACTCCTGCAGGGCCTCCACCAGATCAGCCCTGTGTCCCAATGTCCCACATCCGATGTCCCCAAATGTCCCCAATGTCCCCTGATGTCCCCTGATGTCCCCTGATGTCCCCACATCCCTGATGTCCCCTGATGTCCCCAATGTCCCCTGATGTCCCCAAATGTCCCCAGGGTCACCTGATGGGCCTGAACTCCTGCAGGGCCTCCACCAGATCAGCCTTTTGTGTCCCCAATGTCCCCACATCCCCTGATGTCCCCAATGTCCCCTGATGTCCCCACATCCCCTGATGTCCCCAATGTCCCCTGATGTCCCCAAATGTCCCCAGGGTCACCTGATGGGCCCGAACTCCTGCAGGGCCTCCACCAGATCAGCCTTTTGTGTCCCCAGTGTCCCCACATCCCCTGATGTCCCCAAATGTCCCCTGATGTCCCCTGATGTCCCCACATCCCCTGATGTCCCCAAATGTCCCCTGATGTCCCAATGTCCCCAGGGTCACCTGATGGGCCCAAACTCCTGCAGGGCCTCCACCAGATCAGCCCCTGTGTCCCCAGTGTCCCCACATCCCCAGTGTCCCCTGATGTCCCCTGATGTCCCCAGATGTCCCCAGGGTCACCTGATGGGCCCGAACTCCTGCAGGGCCTCCACCAGATCAGCCCCTGTGTCCCCAATGTCCCCACATCCCCTGATGTCCCCAGATGTCCCCACATCCCCTGATGTCCCCTGATGTCCCCTGATGTCTTCAGGGTCACCTGATAGGCCTGAACTCCTGCAGGGCCTCCACCAGATCCCCAGTGTCACCTGATGTCCCTGATGTCCCCTGATGTCCCCAGGGTCACCAGATGGGCCCGAACTCCTGCAGGGCCTCCACCAGGTCAGCCCCTGTGTCCTCACATCCCCTGGTGTCCCCAATGTCCCCTGATGTCCCCAAATATCCCCTGATGTCCCCAAATGTCCCCAGGGTCACCTGATAGGCCTGAACTCCTGCAGGGCCTCCACCAGATCAGCCCCTGTGTCCTCACATCCCCTGATGTCCCCAGATGTCCCCAAATGTCCCCAAACGTCCCCAGGATCACCTGATGGGACCAAACTCCTGCAGGGCCTCCACCAGATCAGCCCCTGTGTCCCCAGTGTCCCCACATCCCCTGATGTCCCCAATGTCCCCCAATGTCCCCTGATGTCCCCAGATGTCCCCAAATGTCCCCAGATGTCCCCAAATGTCCCCAGGGTCACCTGATGGGACCAAACTCCTGCAGGGCCTCCACCAGATCAGCCCCTGTGTCCCCAATGTCCCCACATCTCCTGATGTCCCCTGATGTCCCCAAATGTCCCCAGGGTCACCTGATGGGCCCGAACTCCTGCAGGGCCTCCACCAGGTCAGCCTTTTGTGTCCCCAGTGTCCCCACATCCCCAGTGTCCCCTGATGTCCCCAGATGTCCCAAATGTCCCCAGGGTCACCTGATGGGCCTGAACTCCTGCAGGGCCTCCACCAGGTCAGCCTTTTGTGTCCCCAATGTCCCCACATCCCCTGATGTCCCCAATGTCCCCAGATGTCCCCCAATGTCCCCACATCCCCTGATGTCTCCAATGTCCCCTGATGTCCCCAATGTCCCCTGATGTCCCCACATCCCCTGATGTCCCCAATGTCCCCTGATGTCCCCAATGTCCCCTGATGTCCCCAGATGTCCCCACATCCCCTGATGTCCCCCAATGTCCCCTGATGACCCCTGATGTCCCCAAATGTCCCCAGGGTCACCTGATGGGCCCGAACTCCTGCAGGGCCTCCACCAGGTCAGCCTTTTGTGTCCCCAGTGTCCCCACATCCCCAGTGTCCCCTGATGTCCCCCCAATGTCCCCTGATGTCCCCAATGTCCCCTGATGTCCCCAATGTCCCCTGATGTCCCCAGATGTCCCCAGGGTCACCTGATGGGCCCAAACTCCTGCAGGGCCTCCACCAGATCAGCCCCTGTGTCCCCAAATGTCCCCACATCCCCTGATGTCCCCAATGTCCCCTGACGTCCCCAGAGGTCCCCTGATGTCCCCAGGGTCACCTGATGGGCCCAAACTCCTGCAGGGCCTCCACCAGATCAGCCCCTGTGTCCCCAATGTCCCCACATCCCCTGATGTCCCCTGATGTCCCCCAATGTCCCCTGATGTCCCCACATCCCCTGATGTCTCCAGATGTCCCCTGATGTCCCCAAATGTCCCCAAACGTCCCCAGGGTCACCTGATGGGCCCGAACTCCTGCAGGGCCTCCACCAGATCAGCCTTTTTTGTCCCCAATGTCCCCACATCTCCTGATGTCCCCAGATGTCCCCTGACGTCCCCAGATGTCCCCTGACGTCCCCGATGTCCCCAGATGTCCCCAGGGTCACCTGATGGGCCCGAACTCCTGCAGGGCCTCCACCAGGTCGGCCTCCACGATGCCGTCGATGAGCCCCCTGATGTGAACCACGGGGGACGCCGGGGTCTTGTGGGGGTCCTCGTAGCTCTCCTGGGGAGGGGGACACACAGGGGTGAGGGGGTTGGGGACACCAAAGGGCACTTGGGGACACCCCAAAATCCCCCCCGAGTTTGGGGATAAAACAAGTAAAAAAAACCCACCCCACTCTGAGACTTTCCCCCCCCAAAATTTAACCCCCCAAAAGGGGTGGTTTGGGGGCCACCCAAAATATTTATTTATCACCCCCAAAAAATATTTATCCCCCCACCACCAAAAAAAAAGGGGCGTTTTTCCCCCGCTGAGACCCCCTCCCAATATCCAACCCCCTCCTCAGCAGCCCCCCCCAGAATATTCCACTCCCCAAGGGTTGTTCTGTCCCCCTCAAGGGGTATTTTGGTCCCTCAACACGAGTGTTTTACCTCACCGTATTCACCCTCCTCTTTCTTCCCAACCTTTACCTCAAAAAGAGCTGTTTTACTCCTCTCCTTTTACCCACATTTACGCTCCCGAGGCTCTTTTTTACCCCCCTCAGGCCCTTCTTCACCCTCAGAGCAATTTTTTAATCCCACCCCTCCCAATTTTACCCACAACCCCAACGAGGGTCTTTTACCCCCCCATAATGAGGGTCTTTCACCCCCTCAGCCCCTCCCGCCATTTTCAGCCCCTCAGCCCTTCCCGCCATTTTTGCCCCCTCAGCCCCTCCCGCCATTTTTGCCCTCTCAGCCCCCCTTACCCCCAATTGCCCCCCAAAACCCCCTCTTTCCCCACAAAACCCCCTCTTTTCCCCATAGAACCCCCCTTTTCCCCCGCCATTTCCTCACCGCTCCTCCCGCTCCGGCCCCTCCGCCCGCTCCCCCCGGCCCGCCGGGCCCGTGAGGCGGCGGCTCCGCGCCGTCAGTTTTCTGGCGCTTGGGAGCCCTGCCGCCCTCGCCGCCGCCGCCGCCGCCGCCGTAGTAGCGACCGGAGCCGCCGCCGCCGCCCGCCGCCATCTTCCCCATGTCGGCCCCGCGCCCGCCGCCCTCGCCGCCCTGAGGGCCGCGCCACCGCCGCCGCGACATGGCGCCCTCACAGCCGCGCCCCGCCCACGACACGCCCCCATTGGCCCGCCCACGCGTCAATCAGGCGATTCTAAGCGCTCCATTGGCTGACACCGTTCCCGCCACCAGGTAGGGTTCTCATTGGACCAGCGGCCGCAAGATTATTGGCCGGCCGAGCTGTCGATCAGCGGCGTTCTAAAAAGCTGATTGGCGGATCTTGCAGCGGTCCGCCCGCCCACCGCGACGATTGGATGAAAGACTGTCAATCAAAGCGAGGCCCCGCCCTTCTTCTTCATGCCGGGGCACGCAGGCCCCGCCTCCACCTTCCCACAGCGCCCTTCGGCGGCGCCGCCTCGCGCCATTGGTTCGCCCGCACACCAATTACGCAATCTCGTCTCATTGGGTGAGGGGCGCGTCAATCAAAGCTCGCGCCGGCCGGACCGCTCATCGATTGGTCAGTTCGCTCCGGTTCGTTCCGCCCACGGGGGGGGGGATCCCCTCAGACTGGGCCCAATCCCTGTGGGGTTGCTGGGAGAACTGGGAGGGAACTGGGAGGGCACTGGGCGGTTACTGGTTCTTACTGGGGCGCTGGGAGGAGGTCACTGGTTATTGGAGCACTGGGGGGGCTTCTCCTCCCGCCCGCCAGGGGGCGCACCATCTCCGCCCCCCCTCCAACCAATCACCGCGCTCGTTTCATCCCCGCTTCCCACTCCCACCAATCAGCGCCGCCCTTTCATTCGCGCCGCCCAATCAGCAACGAGGTGGGCGGGGCTTGGCTTTCCGAGGGCACCCCCGGGTCCTAAAGCACCCCCCCGCCCCCAATTTTGGGGATCCCTGTCCAAAAAAAACCCCAAAACCCCCCAAATTCCCCAATTTTTGGGTCTCACAGCGACTCTTGGACTCCATCGCTTTATTAAACTTCCATTTGGGGCGATTTTTGACCATTCTGCCCCAAAAAATGAGTGCCCTTCCCTCCCCCCCCATGGGGACCTCCCAAAAATAACCCCAGGCAGAGAAAAAAACCCCAAAATGCTGAAAAATGGGGGGAAAACGGAGATTAAAGGGGGAATTTGGGAGGTCCTGGGGGTTTGAGGGGGTTTTGCATCGAGACCTCCCCAAAAAACTCCTTTTTAAATCCTTAAAAACCTCCTAAAATGCGACAAAATGAGGGGAAAAAATGAGGGGGAAAAAGGAATAAAAAAGGGAATTTGAGGTTCAGATTGAAAAACCTCCCCAAAAAACCATCTTTTAATAACATGAAATCTCTCCCCCCACACAAAAAAACCCCCAACTTTAAATCCTTAAAAACTCCTAAAATGCAGCGAAATGACCCCAAAAACGGGGGGGAAAAGTGGGAAAAATAAGAAATAAAGAGAATTATGGAGAATAAAAAGCAGATTTAAGAGTTTTGGGGGATTTTTGGGTGATTTTAGGGCTGTTTCAGACGACCATCTCCAGCTGCCCGCCCTGGGTGTCTCTGGGCTGGTTTTAAGTTAATTTTGAGGTCATTTTGGGGTAATTTTGGGTGATTTTAATGCCATTTCAGACGATCATCTCCAGCTGCCCGCCCTGGGTGTTTCTGGGCTGGTTTTAAGTTAATTTTGAGGTCATTTTGGGGTGATTTTGGGTGATTTTAGAGCCATTTCAGACGATCATCTCCAGCTGCCCGCCCTGGGTGTTTCTGGGCTGGTTTTAAGTTAATTTTGAGGTCATTTTGGGGTAATTTTGGGTGATTTTAGATGCCATTTCAGACGATCATCTCCAGCTGCCCGCCCTGGGTGTCTCTGGGCTGGTTCTGGGGTGATTTTGGGGTATTTTAGGTTAATTTTGGGGTATTTTGAGGCCATTTTGGGGCTGTTTCAGACGATCATCTCCAACTGCCCGCCCTGGGTGTTTCTGGGCTGGTTTTAAGTTAATTTTGGGGTCATTTTGGGGGATTTTTGGGTGATTTTAGAGCCATTTCAGACGATCACCTCCAGCTGCCCACCCTGGGTGTTTCTGGGCTGGTTTTAAGTTAATTTTGGGTGATTTTGGGTGTTTTTAGAGCCATTTCAGACGATCATCTCCAGCTGCCCGCCCTGGGTGTTTCTGGGCTGGTTTTAAGTTAATTTTGAGGTCATTTTGGGGTAATTTTGGGTGATTTTAGAGCCATTTCAGACGATCATCTCCAGCTGCCCACCCTGGGTGTCTCTGGGCTGGTTTTAAGTTAATTTTGAGGTCATTTTGGGGTAATTTTGGGGTATTTTAGAGCCATTTCAGACGATCATCTCCAGCTGCCCGCCCTGGGTGTCTCTGGGCTGGTTTTAAGTTAATTTTGAGGTGATTTTGGGTGATTTTGGGTGATTTTAGAGCCATTTCAGACGATCATCTCCAGCTGCTCGCCCTGGGTGTTTCTGGGCTGGTTTTAAGTTAATTTTGAGGTGGATTTTGGGTGATTTTGGGGCTGTTTCAGACGATCATCTCCAGCTGCCCGCCCTGGGTGTCTCTGGGCTGGTTTTAAGTTAATTTTGAGGTCATTTTGGGGTGATTTTGGGTGATTTTAGAGCCATTTCAGACGATCATCTTCAGCTGCCCGCCCTGGGTGTCTCTGGGCTGGTTCTGGGCTGATTTTGGGGTATTTTGGGGTAATTTTGGGTGGTTTTTGGGTGATTTTAAAGCCATTTCAGACGATCATCTCCAGCTGGCGGGCGTACTCGATGACCTGGGTGGCCAGTTCGGTGGAGGGGATGGGGGGGTCCTCGGTTTTCTGCTGCCTCCCCCCAAAGCTGTAGTAGTTGGAGGGGCCCAGCACCCACCCCCGCTGGGGAAAGGGAAAAAAAAGGTGTTAAAAGGAGTTTTTTGGGGTTCCTGCTTCAAATTTGGGGTTTTTTAGGTGCTCCCCCCTCAGTCTTTTCTTGCCACGGTCTCTCCTTGCTTGGGGATGGGGGGGATTTGAGGGGTTTGGGCCCCTCCCAGTGGGTTTTGGGGGGGATCTTTGGGATTTTGGGGTCTCCCTCAGAAGGATTTGGGGGTGGATTTTGGGGGTCCCTTCTTTTTGGGATTTGAGGGGTTTGGGCCCCTCCCAGCGGGTTTTGGGGGGGATTTTTGGGATTTTGGGGTCTCCCAGAAGGATTTGGGGTGGATTTGGGGTGAATTTGGGGATTTTGGGGTCCCTTCTTTTGGGATTTGAGGGGTTTGGGCCCCTCTCAGCGGGTTTTGGGGATCTTTGGGATTTTGGGGTCTCCCAGAAGGATTTGGGGGTGAATTTTGGGGGTGAATTTTGGGGGTGGATTCTGGGGGTCCCTTCTTTTTGGGATTTGAGGGGTTTGGGCCCCCTCCCAGCAGGTTTTGGGGGGATCTTTGGAATTTTGGGGTCTCCCCTCAGAAGGATTTGGGGGTGGATTTTCAGGGGTGGATCTTTGGGAGTGGATTTTGAGGGTGAATTTTGGGTGTTAGATTCTGGGGAGTGGATTTTAGGGTGGATTTTGGGGTGGATTTAAGAGGGTGGATCTCAGAGGGTGAACTTTGGGGGTGGATTTTGGGGGTGGAGTTTAGGGGGTGGATTTTGGGGTGGATTTTGGGGGTGCCTTGACCCTCGGTCACTCATGGGGGATCGGGTGGGATTTGAGGGGTTTGGGCCCCTCCCAGCGGGTTTTGGGGGATCTTTGGGATTTTGGGGTCTCCCCTCAGAAGGATTTGGGGGTGGATTTTGGGGGGTGAATTTTGGGGTGGATTTTGGGGTCCTTCTTTTGGGATTTGAGGGTTTGGGCCCCTCTCAGCGGGTTTTGGGGGGATCTTTGGGATTTTGGGGTCTCCTCAGAAGGATTTGGGGTGGATTTTGAGGGGTGGATTTTGGGGGTGGATTTTGGGTGGATTTTGGGGGTGGAATTTTAGGGGTGAATTTTGGGGATTTTGGGGTGGATTTTGAGGTGGATTTTGGGGGTGGATTTTGAGGTGGATTGAGGTGGATTTTGGGGATGGGTTTGGGGATGGATTTTGGGGGCTGGATTTTGGGGGCTGGATTTTAGGGGTGAATTTTGGGTGTGGATTTTGGGGGTCCCTTCTCGACTCCCTCGGTCACTCATGGGGGATCGGGGTGGGATTTGAGGGGTTTGGGCCCCTCCCAGCGGGTTTGGGGGGATCTTTGGGATTTTGGGGTCTCCCCAGAAGGATTTGGGGGTGGATTTTGGGGGGTGAATTTGGGGGTGGATTTTGGGGGTCCACTTCTGTTTTGGGATTTGGGGGTTTGGGCTTGGCCTCTCAGGGGTTTTGGGGGGGATCTTTGGGGATTTTGGGGTCTCCTCAGAAGGATTTGGGGTGGATTTTGGGGGTGAATTTTGGGGTGGATTTTGGGGGGTGAATTTTGGGTGGATTTTGGGGGTGGATTTTGGGGGAATTTTGGGGTGGATTTGGGGTGGATTTTAGAGGGTGAATTTGGGGGTGGATTTTGGGGGTGGATTTGGGGTGGATTTTGGGGTGGATTTTGGGGGTCATTTGGGTGGATTTTGGGGGTGAATTTGGGTGGATTTTGGGGTGGGATTTTGGGTGGATTTCTGGGGGTGGAGTTTGGGGGGATTTTGGGGGATTTTGGGGGTCTTGGGAAGGATTTGGGTGGATTTTGGGGGTGAATTTTGGGTGGATTTTGGGGGTCCCTTTTTTGGGATTTGGGGTTGGGCCTCTCTGGGAGTGGATTTTGAGGTGGATCTTGGGGGATTTTGGGGTCTCCTCAGAAGGGATTTGGGGTGGATTTTGGGGTGGATTTTGGGGGTGGATTTTGGGGGTGGATTTTGGGGTGAATTTTGGGGGTGGATTTTGAGGGGTGAATTTTGGGGGTGGATTTTGGGGGTGGATTTTGGGTTGGTGAACTTTAGGGGTGGATTTTGAGGGTGGATTTTGAGGGTGGATTTTGGGGATGGGTATTTGGGGATGGATTTTGGGGGCTGGATTTTGGGGGCTGGATTTTGGGGTGAATTTTGGGTGTGGATTTTGGGGTCCCTTCTCAACTCCCTCGGTCACTCATGGGGGATCAGGGGTGGGATTTGAGGGGTTTGGGGCCCTCCCAGCGAGTTTGGGGGAATCTTTGGGATTTTGGGGTCTCCCCAGAAGGATTTGGGGTGGTTTGGGGATTGGTTTGGGAGTGGATTTTGGGGGATTTGGGGGCCTGGATCCTTGGGCTATGGGGATGTTGGGGTCGGATTCTCGAGCGCCTCGGTCACTCATCGAGGATGCTGGGGTGGGATTCTGGGGCTTGGAGTCCCCGGAGGTTCCTCGGGAGTTCTGGGTGGTGCTCTCAGGTACTCTGAGGTGGTCGGTCATTTGGGGGGTGAGCTGGGGGTCTGGCCTGGGGCAGGATCCGCTCGTGGCGGACTCGGCACCCTGCGATCTCATCCCTGGGATTTGGGGGAAAAGGGTCATGGGGTCCTCAGAGGGATTAGGGGCAGCTTGAGGGGATTTGGGGCAGTTTGAGTCTCAGCGGGGATTTGGGGGCAGTTTGAGGGGTCTCAGAGGGGTTTAGGGGATCCGCCGTAGGCGGACTCGATGCACTCAAGATCATCCCTGCGATTTGGGGGAAAACGGGGTTAGGGGGATTTTGGGGGCTCAGAGGGGATCTGGGGCAGTTTGAGGGGATTTGGGGCAGTTTGAGGGGTCTCAGAGGCGGTTTAGGGGTGTTTGGGGGGCTCAGATGGGGTCTCAGGGGGTTTGGGGGATCCGCTCGTAGGCGGACTCGATGCACCCAAAGATCTCATCCCTGGGATTTTGGGGGGAAAAAACAGGGTCAGGGGAGTCCCCAGAGGGGCTGGGGGAGGTTACAGGGGATTTGGGGCAGTTTGAGAGGGATTTGGGGCAGTTTGAGGGGCTCAGTTGGGGTTTGGGGGATCCGCTCGTAGGCAGACTCGATGCACCCAAAGATCTCATCCCTGGGGTTTTGGGGGGGGAAAAAGGGGGTGTTAGGGGGGATTTGGGGCAGTTTGAGGAGGATTTGGGGCAGTTTGAGGAGGATTTGGGGCAGTTTGAGGGGGGTTTGGGGCAGTTTGAGAGGGATTTGGGGCAGTTTGAGGGGTCTCAGAGGGGGTTTGGGGGATCCGCTCGTAGGCGGACTCGATGCACCCTGCGATCTCATCCCTGCGATTTGGGAGGAAAAGTTAGGGGTTTAGGGGTCCCCAGAGGGTTAGGGCAGTTTGAGGGGTTTGGGGCAGTTTGAGGGCTCAGAGGATTTGGGGCAGTTTGAGGGGTCTCAGAGGGGGTTGGGGGGATCCGCTCGTAGGCGGACTCGATGCACCCAAAGATCTCATCCCTGGGATTTGGGGGGGAAAAACAGGGTCAGGGGTCCCAGAGGGGCTGGGGAGGTTACAGGGATTTGGGAAGTTTGAGGGGTTTGGGGGTTTGAGGGGATTTGGGGCAGTTTGAGGGGGATTTAGGGCAGTTTGAGGGGATTTGGGGGGTTTGAGGGGTCTCAGAGGGGTTTGGGGGATCCGCTCGTAGGCGGACTCGATGCACCCTACGATCTCATCCCTGCGATTTGGGGGAAAAACAGGGTCAGGAGGTCCCTAGAGGGGTTTGGGAGCAGTTTGAGGGGATTTGGGGCAGTTTGAGGGTCTCAGAGGGGTTTGGGGATCCGCTCGTAGGCGGACTCGATGCACCAAAGATCTCATCCCTGGGATTTGGGGGAAAAGGAGGTCAGGGGATTTTGGGGGCTCAGAGGAATTTGGGGCAGTTTCAGGGGATTTGGGGCAGTTTGAGGGGATTTGGGGCAGTTTGAGGGGTCTCAGAGGGGTTTGGGGATCTGCTCGTAGGCGGACTCGATGCACCCAAAGATCTCATCCCTGGGATTTTGGGGGAAAAGGGTGTTAGGGGGATTTGGGGGGACTTAGAGGATTTGGGGGAACTTAGAGGGATTTGGGGCAGTTTGGGGGGCTCAGAGGGGATTTGGGGGTGTTTGGGGGTCTCAGAGGGGTTTGGGGATCCGCTCGTAGGCGGACTCGATGCACCCAAAGATCTCATCCCTGGGATTTGGGGAAAAGGGGGTCAGGGGATTTTGGGGGCTCAGAGGGAATTTGGGGCAGTTTGAGGGGATTTGGGGCAGTTTGAGGGGATTTGGGGCAGTTTGAGGGGATTTGGGGCAGTTTGAGGGGTCTCAGAGGGGGTTTGGGGGATCCGCTCGTAGGCGGACTCGATGCACCCAAAGATCTCATCCCTGCGTTTGGGGGGCAAAAACAGGGTCAGGGGGGTCCCCAGAGGGGATTTGGGGCAGTTTGAGGGATTTGGGGCAGTTTGAGGGGATTTGGGGCAGTTTGAGGGGATTTGGGGCAGTTTGAGGGGGATTTGGGACAGTTTGGGGGGTCTCAGAGGGGTTTGGGGGATCCGCTCGTAGGCGGACTCGATGCACCCAAAGATCTCATCCCTGGGATTTGGGGAAAAACAGGGGTTAGGGGGATTTTGGGGGCTCAGAGGGATTTGGGGCAGTTTGAGGGGTTTGGGGCAGTTTGAGGGGTTTGAGGGGTCTCAGAGGGGTTTGGGGATCCGCTCGTAGGCGGACTCGATGCACCCTGCAATCTCATCCCTACGATTTGGGGAAAAAGGGGTGTTAGGAGGGTTTGGGGGCTCAGAGGGATTTGGGGCAGTTTGAGGGTTTAGGGCAGTTTGAGAGGGATTTGGGGCAGTTTGAGGGGCTCAGTTGGGGTTTGGGGATCCGCTCGTAGGCGGACTCGATGCACCCAAGATCTCATCCCTGCGATTTTGGGGGAAAAAGGGTTTAGGGGTTTGGAGGTCCCCAGAGGATTTAGGGCAGTTTGAGGGGGTTTAGGGCAGTTTGAGGGGGTTTGGGGCAGTTTGAGGGGGTTTGGGGGCG